AGAGCGCTGTATGTACCGAACTCTGTCGGCTAGGTTCTGTTCCGAGACGGTTAGATCCGGTAAAAGACGCAGAAACTCGCGGTGCATTACTGCCCGGTATCCTGTTCTGCCTGTTTCTGTCCCTGTAGCCCTGAAGAACGCACGCATGAGGTCCTCATTCATGGCTCTTGTCCACCTCATGCGACGTGTACCACCAGTGGCGGGCACCGATTGCTGGGCCTGTGACGGCCCTGCCGGCGCCAAGCCAGCTGATGTCGATGGCGAGGGGTCGGACCGGCCAGGTGGTGGGGCCGGTCGGCTGGCTCGCATTCTGCCGCGCCTACCGCCAGTTGTAGACGCGCCCCGGCGACCCCCGGGCAGCGACCCTATACTGTCTCCGTTATAATTATTCGCCATCTTTATTTTTGCCATTGCCCCTTTAGCCGCGTAGGTTTTATTTATACGCGTGACCGCCTTCCACGTGAGCTAGATGGTGAGCTCGGACGCGGGGTTGGACTTTGGAAGGCATTATTATTTATTATTATTATTATATATATATATATATATATATATATATATATATATATATATATATATATATATATATATATATATATATTACTTAACATAAACGTGAATTTTTTTAAATTATACCTATGATATATGCAACGACCGTTATTGATTTTTCTTCTTTATTATTTCAATACTTGACATAAAAACGTAAAACGCAAAGTTACATTCATATATATAATAGTAGCAAAGATTTTAACATATACAAACACTCTAAGCTCTGAAATTGCGTCTATACAAATGTCTAATTTTCTCCTGCTACGCTGTAACGTGGGTATGAGGGTTGTAGCCCTTGGTAACCATGGCGACCGGTGTTTTATGTGCCCCACGTTGCCCGTTCCTCCCACCGGCAAAGAGGTAGCGCGATTCCGGCATGGTTATATTATAACGTATATTAACTTACACGTGTCTGGTCAAATTGAGTGTTACTTAGGCCCTTGGTATGTTGACGTATGTTTACATAATGTTTTTTTTTTACACTTCATTCATATTCACTATAAATATTCAATGAGTGATTGCTTTACGTAATAATTATTCTATATCTTTCATGTAACAAAAATATTGTTACTCACTTACGTTAACAGCTCATTAACGTCTCACTACTGAGCACATGTTGCTCTCCATAAAATGAGAATAATATTATAGTGTACCACATCGATTAGTCGGCTTTTAAAATTATCCCTTTATTCATATAAATAATAAACTTATTTTAGCTATTGAAGTGTTTTTTTTTTCTTTTTCTTTTGCATAAAATTCTTAATATGAAAAAAGTGACAAGATTTTAATTTTTATGAAAGTTAAAGATTTATATAGTTTTCCAGTATACATAGAAAAGTATATGTATTTGCCTGTCCGATTGTCAAATCCGTGACCTTATGTACACAAAGGGGCTTTTTAACCATTCGGATTTAATTATTTTTTCGATTTTATTCTTTGGGAGAAAATGTTCCGTTTCATGAATATAATCGTTTAAAGTTTCAGTTTACAATGAGAAATTTGTATATAGAACTTAATTTTGCTTTGCAACAGCTCTTTTGTTCTGCAATGTCAAATTTGTTGTATATGTTTTGATATGGTTTATGTCTCTAAATCTCTACAATCAAAAAAACCTAATATAAACTCTATAAATAATATAAAAAAAAAATTATCTTCCAAATCTTAAATACTATCTTTTAATTACGATGTTTGTATGTAATTTATCATGTTAATATTTTTATATTTATTTATTTAACTTTATGTACATAACAAATGCCGAACCTACCGGTCAACCCTGGTGCAAACAGATATTTGGTGGATCGCTGCCTGTTCTGTTAAGTAGAAACTTTATAAGGATACTGTTTTTATAAAGTCGATACTTTAAAATAAAACGGAAACTATATCAAAACATATTATATTGCTGCAAATTTATCTGAAATTATTTGAGTAAATATCGGATACTATTGAGTTTGTTTTTATTATTGGCACTCTATTTAATATTTGTATTGTATGTTGACACTACTTCGCTACAAGGCCAACCTCTAGATATATGATTTACGTCATATGGAGTTTGCAGTAAAAAAAACATGTAATGAAAAAAATCTTGTGTAGATACGCTGACACAGTTTACAACATTCATTTTTAAGCCTAGTTTGTCGCGTGTGTATATAGTTATCTATATAAAAATTCCTAGGGCAAAGAGATGGACAGGCGAAGCTATCATAATCCTTAGATACATCTTTTGAGTCGTTTCTTATTATATTTCGCCATTCGTCATATTCGTGAACGGGTAATACTTGTATGGACTAGTCTGCATAAATCACTATTACAAATTTATTCTATTTCTTAGCGTCTATTGTATATTTAATAATATTTTCATTGTTTAACTTTATGCTATTTAGTATTTTATGTTTACGCTAAATAATAAACTTGTGAAATTCTATTTATTTATTTGATATAGGATTTTATCGGGTCAAGCAGTAAGTCCCGGTCACACGGACAAAGTCGTGGGTACAGTTATAGATATAACAATATATAAAGTTCAATGTACCCTATCAGAACTAAGTTATCGGGATGTGCGTGATTTTACTTAAATGTAATACAATACAAATAAAAATAAAACATTAATATATCCCTTGACATAAATTAGTTCACATAAAGAAACAACAGTTCTATGAACTCTGTACATTATAATACTTCTATTATATTTATGGTTATCCATAATAAGCGCAGGAAGTACTATTAACCCAATTTCTCGATATGTGTCGATTTACATAATAAAATATTATCACGTACCTACCTAAACTATCTGTGTCATAGACAACGGTTACCCATCGATTTCCTATGCAGATCAGAATACTTCGATCTTATTTATGTGACGTGATATACATATTTCATTAAAAATATTTAATATACAAGATATGTAATCAATTTGTTCTTTTGTAATTGATTTTTTATGATTAACAGCAATTTGTTTTATACACGACTTCAAATAGTAATATGTAATATTCTTTGTATCGGAAATTCAGTGTTAATGACATTTTTACTATAAGTTAGTAAGTATAACATTTGACAAATTGAAATATGTAATATTATTCGTTTTCATTGGTGTAAGAAAGTGTAAGTAGGCGGCCTAAAAACTTAACACTAGAGGACGCTATCCTCAGTCATAGGATTAGTCAATATTATGGCCACATTAGAAGCTTGACAAATGCGTTCACGGACACAACCAATGCCATTTATCCGTCGGTAGTTTCTCACGGCAAACATCCCATACCTATCGGCGCACCCCTGGTGTTTCGCAACTTCCACTTCCACAAGTACAACCCAGAACTCAATAGCATTGGGTGCAGTCATGTGGTAAAAAATGATACCAACCACATCCTTTGTGGTTGGTATCATTTTTTTGATACGATAGTTTTAGTACAAATCAAGTTAAATAATTCACAATATAAAAAAAATATTGTAGCTCTTTTATGCGTATTAAGGTTAATGTTGAAGGCTCTTTGTTAATCTGTGACTTTGCATACAGTAATTTAATATTGTATTGTAACTATATGTTTAATAATGAAGATTAACCCCGCCGTTATTCATAAAAAACGTCCAACCACTCACAAACCTAAATTTCGATTTGTAAAAGTGACAAAAGAATAGATTGTTTAATGGGTGAAAATGGAATAGTAACCCCGCCTGAGTTAACCGCATACGCTGGCGGAGCACCAGTGGAAGATGATAGGTGAGAATGAATGCAGGTCAGTTGGCACACCATAATGAATTCGACAAGAATTAACCATGATGGTTTCCAGGGGGAACCATGTGGAGGTCGACCTGTGAGCGTATATTGCTAGCAATGGGGCTATTTGACCTCATTACTAACAATCCTTTTCCCCCGGTAATTGTAAGATTCGTAGGCTTTAGTTTTTATGAATAAGAGGGTAAATCTGTATGCAAACTAAGTAAAAAATATTTATGAAATACGTTATTCGTGTAGGAACAAAATTTATTACATTAAACAGTTGTCCACGATTTCGTTCGCGTGTCCAGGATATAAAGTAGTTTATGTTTTTCTCCATGCCAAATATTACGCGATATTAATAATCATTATATCAGCCGTTAACTGTGCACTGTTGAACATAGGCCTCCCCCATGGGGGGTTTTACGCGTAATTGCCACGTTTTGCAGACGGTTTGGAGTATGCCAAATTGCATGAAAATTGTTCGAGTTTTAAGGCGCCAAGAGATAATAGTTTATTTCACAAATTCACATTTGCAACTAGTAAATTATGATAATTGGTTAAGTTATTAAAGTAGGTACTCATATTAAGGATTATTATTTCATATTTCCCATAAGTCACATTTGGTGTATTTTAAAATTGTCTCAATACTGAATACTTACCAGTCTATCTACTTGGCACCAATGATAACTATCTTCCTTACTTTCGAATCTCAGCTATGTATCTACATAAAAGTGACTTCAGAAAAAATGAAGAGAAAGTAATAATTAATTGTATCTAAACTTAAATCAAGTATTACAATGGTAGTCTTTCATCTGTCTGTCTTCGCAATCATGATTTCTGTGTCTGCCAATCTATATTGTAGATCATCTTGATACGCTACGTATACTCAGGTTACGAACTTTTTCTATTCCAAGTTTAATAAGATATAAAGTGAAATTTTAAATTAACAATCAGTTGCGTTATTTGATAGAAATTATCATGGTGTCTGTGCCTTTGTCCATGTGAAATTCAAAATAATCTTCCAATGTGTATGTTTATTCTTAGCTCGAAATCATTTCTTTTTACGATTTGGTTCAAATCTACGCTGTAATTCTATAAAAGTAATTCATCGCTATTGGTTTATCGTTTTCAACTTTAATAACGTGTATTTTGCTTCTTATTGTACTCGTATTTGCTTTCTTAATGTACGATGTACACCAAAAGTGATTTATTTCGGTATGTTAATTACTTGTATCTAGAGATGGGCAATCCACCTGGGTGGGTTTAAAGTCTGGTGGGTAAAAACCGGGTGTTTTGGGTTTATTGGGTTTAAACCCCATAAACACCCAAATTTTTGGGTGTTTATGCTTTTGTACTTCATCATCGTCATCTCAGCCGCAAGACGTCCACTATACTGGACATAGACAATATTATTATGCAGCCTACAGAATAAAAAACTTTTAATTTGATTTTGAGTTTATTAAGAAAGAGATGAAAGTAAAATGTAAAACTACAGTCAATCACTGTCAGATTCAGAGTTATTACAAGCGATGAATTGTATAGGTTCGATAGGCTCTATTTCGTCTAAACTGTTATGTTCATTTACTTGCTCAATGAAAGCTTCTAAGGTATTTTCTTCATTAAACTGAATGTCCTCGCATTCAGCTTTATGTTTAAGATTCCAGTTATAACAAATGAATGAAATTTTTTCAGTTCTTTCAGTTGTAAGTCGATTTCTTTTGTTATTATGTATGTAGCCTTGGATACTAAAGGAACGCTCAGTGGCTGCCGAAGTACAGGGAGCTGATAGAATACGAATCGCTACTTTGCTTAACTCAGTGGAACCACAAATACCTTTCCACCATATTAGGGGCTCAATGCTATCTAATGAGCTCCATACAAATCCTCTGGCCCAAAAGTTTTCTTTAGCTTTATAACACGCCAAATCTGCCATTACATTTGACAAACTTAAGTGTTGGCTTAAATTGTAGATAAACTCCATACCCTTAAGTTCTTCCTCTTGAGTAAGTTCGACTCCTAGAGTCCTGGGGTCTAGAATATATGCTGCAAAATGTATTGGCCTCATTGCCATATTGCATCTTGAAGATACTGATGTTAGAATCTGCTGTTTGCTTTCTTCGCTCAATGTCGAAATCTCATTTAATGCAAAACGTATCTTAGCTTGTACATCTCTAAATGTAATGTATGTGCGATGCAAACGATTCTGGTCGCTCTCTAAGTAAAATATGCTTTCAGTGACTGGTTCCAAAATACTTATACATTCCCCTGTCTTCGTCCAGAAATCATCACTTAGAATTAAATCTTTAATATCTCTTGAAATTACCACATCTTCTCTAACTGTTAATATTTGCAAAGCTATCTTATTTGCTTTCAAACTTTTTAACGAAGTAACATGACTTCCCCATCTTGTAGCACAAGGCAATTTTAGTGTTTGTGTAGAATCTTCACCCTGCCTTGATTTTATCAACAAGGAACTTAATCGTTGACTCCTTTTAACAGTTTTTATTATATTTATGGCTTGCATAATAAACACAGTTACTTCTTGTATCTTTACAATATCTTGGCACAACAAGTTAAGGATATGTGCACAGCAACCGAGAGGAACAACATGTGGATATTTGAGTTTTGTTAATTCGAATGCCTTTTGTATATTTCTAGCGTTATCGCCAATAAGTACAAGAAACTTATTTGCTCCATACACTTTCATTACTTTTTCAACTTCTTGGCTAAGGTATTCACTAGTGTGAGGATTACTTTCTGTATTCAAACTTTTAACGTATGCAGGTTGAGGTTTTGATATAAGAAAGTTTATTATTCCTTCATTTCTTAAATTAGACCAGCCATCGCACTGAAGGTGTAAGTAACTACAAGCATTTAGTTCCTCATTTAACTCAAAACGCATTTCTCTATATATTTTATCTAAGTATTTTGTCGCTAAAGCTTTACGTGAAGGTATTTTAAATTTTGGTTGCAATTTTTCGAAAAATTGTATCCATAAAGGATGTTGCACCATCGATAATGGCGTCCCTGTTACAAATATAGCTCTCGCTAATTCTGTTTTTATATGATCATCGGTGTCTTGAAACTCAGCATTTATTGTAGTGTTAGCAGACGACGAGGGGCTTATAAAAGAATCATTTGTCTCTATCTCTGACAGTCCAGACATTTTGGTTTTGGACGAGCTATCTTTTATAAGTTTCATAGAGTCTTTTAATGTTTCTGGAGATTTTGGACAAGTGATAAGATGTTGAAGCATTTTGGCAGCATTACTGAATTTGTAGACCTTATTACAAAGCTTGCAAGAAACAGACTTGTTTGGTAAAGTACGGTAGTGCTCCCATATGCGTAAATCTTTAGGTCTCCCCATTGAACCTAAAAAAATGAACGATGATTAGTTGGTCTGACGAAAATTCAACAATAGAGTGCCTATTTTTTTACAATGATTATTTCTTGTTATTTACAATAAATTTATTAAAAAAATAATAAAATAAATACAAAAAACCTTTGTAAAATTACATCTCCTCGGAGGATTAAACGCAGACGCTAGTTTATTATCGTATTGTTCTGTATTTTTCTCAGCAACTTCTTTAATTCGATTAGGTACTTACGCATATTATGTTAAAAATAAATATCTAGTACACATCTTAGGCTATCCACCATTATTATCCAATGACGACTCTCAGCTAACTATGCACTATCATCCAAAATAAACGTGTATGGAAAATTTTATCCCAGTCGGTTGAGGATTGAGGATAATTGCATCAACATACGAACATACCTACATACTTTTATTTACATAACGCAAGCTAAATAAAAGCTTGTAATAATACATCTAATTTTAAGTTAAAATTGTTAAGTGATCATGATATAATTGTATCATTCAAAAATCCACTTACCTTTAATTATTTCTTGTTAAGTATAAATATTATTTCAAATCTGCTCCCTTAATATGCACTTTTTTACTGCTTTTCCTACCTAACACGTTACCAGGAAGTCACGTTACCAGAGTCAGAGTAATAGTGAACACGTTTGACAGTGATTGTCGTCGCCTCATATTCAGCGTCGACGAATAGGGGAATCCCCAGTCATAATGTATTGCATGCGTGGCGGTCTTACTTCAAATCCATAAACAAAGAGATAATTACAGAACTCGATACTAGATGGCGCTGTTTTTGTTTGAAGAAAGTTTGCGGGCTAAAATACATAGAATTTCATCAATGACTTCCACAAAGAACAACATTTCTGTTTTTTCTAAGTCCGTATCTCTTCCGTATATTTCATAAGATATAAGCTTGGGCTACATTGTTATGCAACGTGATTTTGTCGCTGTCTTGCTAGCAGGGTTGACAGATATACGATTTAAATCGTACTCATACTATTATTTGTCTATTTTTTAATGTACGATCGTAAAGATTATGATCGTAATTCGCACAAAAACATACGACTTTTTGGTTACCTGGCAACATTTTTATTATGAAACGAACATGCTCACATCATCAGTCACATGCAACAATTTATTGGGGATTTCCCTTCACATCTGGCAGTCCTGCTTGCTAGAATATAGGTAAGTCAGCCACAGTTACTGACGATCGATATTTAAAGGGTATTGTTTTTGTGCTAAATATTTCATAAAAACGTTATTTAATACTTTGTGGATTATTAATTTAGTTGATAATCACTGGAAGTAAAATGGATGCTAATTTGAGAGATCAAGATCTTCGTATAAAACAGTTAATAAAAGAAAATCTACGTAAGTACTCTTTTTATACCTAGGTAGGTAAGGTATAATAAACACAAAAGGTACTTAGATCGCGTGTGTTCGAAGCATTTATTCTAATAAATTTAATTTAAAATTGTAGAAAGAAAAAAATGTCTGCCAAGCCGTAGCCGAAGCCGATCTCCAAATATATTTGGCGATAGTGAGACCCAGTGTCCAGATGATTTACCCAGCGTCGTCGCAACAAAGAAAAAAAACGAGGATAAAGTAAAAGAAAATTTACTGAAAGAAGAAACAAACTGTTCTAAATGCTTAATTTATGGAGAAGAGGATAAAAGAAATGAGTATTTCGGACTGTTAGTGGCTCAAGAATTTAAATATATACGGCCATGTGTGCGAACGAGGTGTTATGAAGAAATTTTAAAGTATCTACGGGAAGCAAAAGGCCAACATGTTGATCAACTGCAACATGAAAACACTGAAAATTAATTACTTTCATTTTATTATATATAGATTTTTAAAATTTCCTGAAATATTATTAGTTAACGTTTTATTTAATATTGTAGAATTGATCAATACAATTTATAAAAATAATTTATTGGTATTACTTACATATTTTCAAAAAAATACGTAAAAACCTATTTTTTTGGGTGATTATGGGAGTTTATGGGTGTTTATTGGGTTTTTACCAAAGCACCGGGTTTAAACCCGGTGCTTTGCCCATCTGTACTTGTATCTCTACTATTTCTGTGACTAGCTATGAGATCTGATTGTTATTCTGACATACATAAACCGATAAACATTTTAGGTATTGCAGTGTCCTATTGTTTTAGATAGCTGTATGCATTTCATTTTGTCTCTTGGAGACTTATTAATTGAATTAATTAATATTTTACTTATTGACAACGAGTCAGATTTACTGTTTAAATTACTCCGATTCCTCGCAATGTCTATTTTGTAAGATCTACTTAAGGGTTAGAGATTGTCCCTGAATTTATTATGCAGACTTTACATAATGGATTGATGTAAAAAGGCGCACATCAATGAAATATAGGCTGTAGCAAATGGACAATTTAATTCTTTAGATCTTTTAATTTCTCCTCTTCCTGTTTTTAGTTCGACTAATTTTTTTACCGTGTTAGTGTTCTAGCTGTGTTTGCTTTATTTTTAATATTTTAAATTTTATAAAATAAAAGACTTGTTGACAGCTAGAAAAAGAATGAGTTTTTTTTTTTTATTAAATTCAAATTAGACTCGCACAAAGTAGCATACAAAACAAACAAAAAAGCAATAGTATAAAAAATAAAAAGTGTGTACCGTTTTCTGCTCAAATGAAACGTAAATTTAAAAATATACGGGTACGTAGGATGAATTTTTGTTCGTGATCATGAATCTATATTGTATTTATTTTTATTTTATTTATTAGGCGCACATAATAGAAGTTCACAAATACAAACTAAAATTATAATATGCAAGTACATTAATGTATTGATCGGGTAAACTTGCCACAACATGTGCACACAGCACGATGATAATAAATGCGACTGCAACAAAGCAATTCAGTTGCAACTATTAGTAAAAAAATTAAACATAAAATTACAGTGAAAAAATTACATATAAAATATATCATCATTCTATATTATGTATATATGTCATATACTAACAGTCTCTTGTTGTATTACGGTATATTGTCACCAAACATTATACCGACTGAAATTCTTGATTTCATTGCAATTGATTTGACCGAATCAGTTGAGCGTAATATAAAATACGCAGTGTTCCTTTCAGTCTTTAATGAAATTATGGTTGTCATTGTATGAATCAATTTTAGTTTGTATGTGTTACAGTGACAAGTTTATCATTTGTCATAAATATATTTAATCATACTTGGGTTGTTGACGTTTACAATTAATGCAATATAAAATATGTTAATTTCAGTCTGTTACATTATCAGTTACGTCTATTATGGTATCGTGCTCATTCTGTTTGTCATTTTATTTATATATAAATTTTATTTTTATATTTTAATCATTGAATTATGTATTTGCCTCTATACTTACGTACATACAAGTGACTGTTCCTTTCTTCTGTCTATAGAAGAGACCTATGGAAATAATAGATTGATATTTCAAAGTAGTAGTATTCAATACTCACCAATAATGACATAACACATTATGTCTCACAGTCAAAACAACATGTTGCAAAATTTTGTGAGATGAGATGTAATTAAAATTGATAGCTCCGTGTTTGGTCTCAAAGTCGCGTAAGAAAATTCTTTTGAGATAATTATACTTTGTTGTGTATACTGATTTCTTATTATAAATGATACATACAGTAAAGTTGTAGACTGTCTGTACACCCATATACAATGTATTAATATCTTCCAAGATATTTAGGAAACATTGATATATAGAGTCTTACTAATAATAATTAGTAATAAAAGTTATATTGATCAATACTTTTTAGAAATTTTATGTCTGTTTATATATCGGTTCCGTGCCATCTAGAACTGGTCTACTTAATTGGTTTTGCTATTTTTGAAAACTACGTGTATGAAATAGAGGGCAAAAGCTAGTTTTAACTATTAGCTATGCTATGCTATTAGTATACTCGTTCTTCTTAGTGATTATAAGAAATTATTAAGAAGAACAACTACCTAAGACCATCATACTACCAGTCGTTAACTGTCTACTGCTGAACATAGCCTTCTCCCATTAGGGGGTGTTTGCTAATAGTTGCCACGTTTGGCAGGCGGGTTAGCAACCTCAGTTATGCTTTAGGTGATGTCTAAGAGTTAAAAATGGCCTTTATAGTAAAATATCATTAATTATGGTATAGTTAAGTGAAAGTGTGTTATTGTGTTTGTGATTAGTCATACGTAATATAAGTTGTATAATAGATAATGATTAGATAAGAATAATCTTTGTTCATATAGACTTGTTTACAAGCACATTTTAATCGTTATTTTTTATATATGTAATAGAGTAGATTAAAAAAAAAAATGTTTTGGATCTACAATTTAATTAATAGTTTATATTTTTTTATACAAATTAGAATGGTAAACAAACTGACGGGGACTACCTGATTGAAAGTGGTAACTACCGCTAATGGTATTGAATGGACATTACACTTTTGTTTTTGTGTATAATTTATATTTATTTATTTATTTATAGCAAGGCAACAGATTACAAATTAATACATTTATAAAATAAATATTACATAAAACGGCATTAAATTTGCACTCCAATAACTGCTCTGTATAACATTCGATATTATATACATTAAAAGAATGACGGCTATAAATTTAAAGTAACAAATTGGCAGCCTTAATGTAACATTGCAAGATATATAGACTATATCTATCTTAGATAGAAATATTATTGCAATTATCGTGGAAATCCCCACGATAATTGCAATTATTTATTTTTATAATAATATGCAGCCCATTATTCATTGATAAAGTGTAATTCTATAAGTGAAATAATTTTTGAAATCGATTTACTACTCGGTATTTGTTGAGTTTATCCTTTACAAACAAATAATATAATTATTACTCTTCATAGTAAAGTTTAGATAATGTTGTATTAAACAAGACGTTTCTTTGTTGACAGAAAGAAGATCGAATCCTTAGGCAGGATGACGGCGATGACGCAGGAGGAGATGGTGGCCGGCGCGAGGACGGTCGCGGCCGGTTTGGAAGCGCTGCGGGCTGAGCATACGCAGCTTCTCGCTGGCCTTGCAGCCAACACCGACCATGAGCACGAGAAGGCGTCCCTGGTCAGGAAGAGTATAGATGCCATCGAACTGGGATTGGGCGAAGCACAGGTTAGTTTTTCTTTATGCAATATAGAGTGACACATCACCTGATGAAAAGAGCTAATCCTTACCTATTGACATGAATAGTACCACGAACATAAAAGAACATAATGTGAAGCTTAGGGTACACCTTATACTGTGTCGATCCTAAGGACTAATATATTATAATTTGAAATTGGTAAAATATAATTCCTGTACATAATTATCGGAGCGGTACACTTCTTTCGTTAGGAAAAAATTTTTCATTTTGCAAGAAAATAACGAAATTATTGAAAAGGTTTTAAGTTTCATGAATAATTGAGCTTCTATTATGAATAACTTGTACTTTGTTCTATCTATACATTTATATAATAAGTCCTCTATCTGTTTTATCTACATATGACTATAGATATTAATCTTAAGAACAAATGAAAGAAATACATATGTTTAACATAATAGGAGTATTATAGTGACCTTTGAATCCTGGTATTTGTATAAAATCATATATTTGATTATTTATCCTCATACGACCAGTGAAATTGTTATATTTGCAAGAGTAGAATCTCTAAAAGAAATGAGAGGGAGAGAGAGAGAGAAATTTTTTAAACTACATATATTATTCAATCAAGGTCAATTTAGTACATGAATTTGATGTTATAAATACGTATTGACTTTTATACAAACTCTACCATACATAAGATTTAAACGCTTTATAGATAATAGATATTTTCGAAAGGGTTTAATATGCGAGGAACGTCTCTTTACAAGAAAACTATGAATTTATAACATTGTTATCATCATATCAGCCTTTAATTGTCCACTGCTGAACATAAGCCTCCCCTTTGGGGGGTTTTGCCAGTAGCTGCTATGCTTGACAGGCGGATTGGTAACCGCAGTTAGGCTTTGGAGATGTTTTAAGAGGGATACTGCTGCCCATCCCTCGTCCTCCCTTAGTCGACTCTTACGACACCCACGGGAAAGAAAGGAGTGGCCTATTTTATGCCGGGACCACACGGCTATAACGAGGGCTACACTGAAAACTTTTAAAACTGGCTACTTGAAAGCAATATAATAAAAAAAATGTTAAAATTTTGAAAATGGAACTCTTTACGAATAATACTGAGTATATAATTTATTCGTTTGCCATTTGTTTTACGGTTTGGCGGCAAATTGAAAATAGTCTGTGTAACGTTATCATGAACTTAACACGAGAAAATTTTCGTGCGATGATTTTTTATCACTTTCGATGTCATCTAAGTCAATAAGAAAGTTATGATAAACTACGATTGGCCTATATAAACGAGTTTAAGTTGGTGTAATTATTGTTGTTAGGTACATACAAGAATAGGATAATTTTGATCCTAAAATGTAATACTGTATATACAGTATCAAAATAAGATCCATTATTAAGTACATAAGATATTTTTAATTTTTCTCGTGGATGTGTGAGCAATAACAGTGCAGCTGACGAGTTAACAAAATATAAATTTAATTGTTGGGAAAATTTTCTTGCAACTAAAAATATTCGCATTTGTTTATAGTTAAATTCGACTTCATTAATTAGAGTATGATTTATAATGTTCACCAGTCACGAGTCTCTACCATGTGCTAAGAAAAACAAACAAAACGTGAACAGCTGTGGTTAGTGCTTGAGATTCTATCTCACGCGGTCTACTATATTCTGTATTATTTTCTAATATAACTTTTATAAAAATTATATGCTATATACGTATGTCTGCATTGTGGTCTGCGTTGGTACAAGGATGACCTTGGTATAATTTTATACTTTGTATTTCCAACCGTGTTTGCCCATTTACCGGACCTACTTACATAAAACATATATAAGTATTACAATTCTGTTTCATTGTGTATTAAAAATAATTTGGTGTATTCTTTAAATTTTAGTTAGTTGGACGCAATTAAGTATTGAATAACTAATTAAGGTATTTTAAAAACGAGGAAAAAATAGAAGTAAGCCGAGTAAATCTATGAAGCTAAAATACAGTAGTTAGATCCTTATAGTATTTAGATCTTTATTAAGAAAAGATTTCCCGGAATTACAAGTACCGCGAGCACGAGATAATAGGTTCCGTGTAAATGAAGTCGAAGGAAACAAGGAGCTGTCTAATAAAGGAAATTTCATGGGAGTGATCGGAGAAAGAATCGTAATGAACAATTAATCACTTTGCCGCAAAATGCACACTATCAGAGAAATCTAATACAAATAAAAAAGACAGGTGGATAAAGACTCGACAAAGATACAGAAAACTTGATTAAATAAGTTTATTTATATTGTCGTTATGTATATTTTTACTATTAAATCTTGTATAATTAAAACAAATCCCTCGACACCCCATTTATATTCATTAAAATGTTTAGGTTACGTTACGCCACAGATCCGGATATACCTATCTACTCAAATACATGTTTACATGATAATATACATGTTTACGTAATATCCTTCCTCAATGATCTATTAAAGTCTCACTGCTGGCCTAGAGTCCTTACATTGAGAGGAGGATATACCCTACTATTATGCTGGCCAGGCGGCCTGGTATAGGGTGTTATTTCGAGACTTGCACTAGTGTGTTGCGTTTTGTTCACTTATCTGACGACCTTCGAGGTGATTGTTTGCATTGATTTAATGCATTAATCACCTTCCGGTGGTCGCGGATTCAATCCTCGCACAGTACAAATATTTGTATTCATGAGTAAGTTTGTTTATTTATTTTACCAGGACGTGTAGTTTTCAATAAGTAAATAGTAGTAAAAAAGGCGGTCTTATTGCTATGCAATCTCTCTCTCTCTCTCTCTCTCTCTCTCTCTCTCTCTCTCTATATATATATATATATATATATATATATATATATATATATATATATATATATATATATATATCAGTTATGTAATTCTCATAATACAGACTCTGCTTAGACGTAGATGGCGTTGTGTAATACATCATATTCTGTGGATAAAGAGGATCATATTGTATTTTTACTTCGTAACTACACGAAACGTGTTTTATATTATACACCCAGAAAACATCCTTTCTTTGATATTCGGCCAAAATGTTCACGTCAAAAAATCTCTTTATCGCTAAGTAACGCTTACTGTCCCACAAAGAGTGCCCTAGAGGTGTGAGGTTGTCCTATATTCAAGCCTTTAAGGACTCGCTTTAAGACCATCATTTAGGTCACCTTCGTTTTACAAATAGCCTCAAGGGTAGTGTGAGTGGAAGCGGGGACTTTATATTTCAAGCTAGTCAACGTACACATACATTTAAGATTGACGGTAACCAAAGAAATGTGCCTATTTTTGTCATGAAGGCATGTAAAGTTTAACATATGTAGTATAGTTTCATATTGTATAAGGTATTTTTTTTACGTTTTAAATGACTAAATACGTTATAATAAAAAGATGTGATTATTTACTAACCGATGCCAAGCATGAGTATGTAATTCCGCCGTCCAAGCATAACAACTATTGTCAATTCTCCCTAATAGGGGGAGGCCTATGTTCAGCAGTGGACAGTTAACGGTTATATGATGATGATATCTCTAAAGACGTCATTTCTTTAAAGCTCTAAATTGTCCTTGTGATCTCGGCATAAAATACGCCACTCCTTCCTTTCCTGTTGGTGTCGTAAGTGGCGATTAAGAGAACTTAATGGTAGATAGAAGGATGGGCAGCAGCGTTCCTCTTAAAATATCACTAAAAGCCTAACTGCGGTTTGCAACCCGCCCGCCAAGCGTGGCTACTACTGACAAAACTCCTCTTATGAGGAAGGCTTATGTTCAGCAGTGGACAGTTGACGGTTTAAATAAAATGAGTTAATGATAAAACAGATTAAACTTTTTATTTTAATTACATTTGTTACGTTTAATTTTCCTCGAGTTAATAGCTATTCAAATTCTAAAACTTTGTTACGTATGTGTTATATATAAAATTTAATAGAGTAATTTACTGAAAATTATTTTGATTGCGGAAAGAATAGGTACCTAAAGTGTCCTATATGCTTATTTAGAATGTAACATACCCGTGTACCAAATTTCATTCAAATTCGTTTAGTAGTTTGTGCGTAAAAAGTAACAAACGTCCATCTATCCGTCGTTATAGTTTTTACATTTTATTTCGTATTAATAGGGCGATGTAACTATTCTTTCTTTATTCTTTATTGTACACAAACATAATGTTAAGAACAATTAATTTTAAACATAATGTACAAAGGCGAGTTTATCTCTAAAAAGAGTTTATCTCTAAAAACCTTTTCATGTGAATAGAATATTATTTAAAAATAAAAATAGGCAGTCATACGATTTGTGTACATTGTATAAACATATTCGTAAGATATTACTATTTTATTATTATTGTTATTTCGTCAATTGATAATAGTGCAATTACGCACAAGACTTATCGACTAGTGTGTTTTATATTTTAGTGACATATGGAAACATAATGTTATAACGTAACATCTACTGGACAAAGGAAAACCCAATGAAATCTCCCCCTCAATTGAGAGTCTCTGCGTATAACAAACATACTAATGTCGCGTCGAGTTGTGCGTCATCTCTTTTATTAATCTCCCTCGCCTGTCTCCTCCCCCATGTTTACTTAAAAAGTTGGTGTATTTTTGTTTTTTTTTTTTTTTACCTAAATTTGAGTGAACTTGAATGAGTTTTTGAGTTTTGGTTTTTAAATTTAATAAAGATAAATCACTACGCAATCATTCTATGCAATAAAACAACATTTATTTTAAAGTGACAAAGTTAAATTCAAATTATTAACTTGTCTTAATTCGGATATACATTTTTATATTTAAAAGGTACTAACAAATTACAACTTTGTGATTTGTGTCTACAAATACTATAGATAATAGTTAAGTTAGGATCAAGATGACTGAAAACTATTTGAGTTAGTGCCAATTTTTATGTAAATTTTTGTATTATTTTCAGGTGATGATGACCCTAGCATCCCACCTTCAGCTGGTCGAGGCAGAAAAGCAGAAACTCCGCACTCAAGTCCGCAGACTGTGCCAGGAAAACGCTTGGCTCCGGGACGAGCTGGCTGCAGCTCAGCAGCGACTCCAGGCGTCTGAACAGCGAGTCGCCCAGCTCGAAGAGGAGAATAAACACCTTGACTTTATGGCCTCTATACGGTTAGTCATATTGTTTATATTACAAATGTCTTATTATGTTAATCACATGCTAAATGTAACCTTTTGTTATGCCTATAAAGATCTTTATTATTCATGTGCCAAATAAAAATGTAGGTATATATTTATACCAAGACGTTAAGTATATACGGCATAACTAGAAGGACAGGGATAATTTTTTTAGTGTTATAGTGGTGACTAATATGCGTATTAATGAAACATTTTCCTACGTGCATCGGCTGAAATATAAAAGCAGCAAAAGTACCTTTCATTCTAAATTATCAGTTTACAAAATTAATTCAGTATTTTGGAATTATTAGCGTTTTTAAAGAAACTGTCGTGTCGTGTCGAAATTAATAATTTTATCCCGTCCCGGCTTCGCACAATATTTGTTTGTCTAATTTTTAAACTGTTGAACACATTTTAGTAAGGCTTGTATTTTAGCGTGTATGAAAGTACTGTACTAATATTCTCTAAGATTTTAAAATGAGCCGTTCCGTAAAATTTATTTTACTTTTGACATAAAAACCATTTTATTGGCTGACATATTAAACTTCGATATGTGGTGTTGTAGACTTTTTTGTAAAGCTAAAAGTAATTATATTTTTGCTATAGATTTTATTCCTTTATTCAATGCGCTCCTTCCGGGAGCGCATGCTATTTTATAAGATTTTGCCGACATCATTTACATTTAATGTGGTTAATTATTGAAAATATATATTTGCCAAAATAAAAAGTATTCCTTTATTGCGCTCAGGGATAATATACCTTTCTAACAATGAAAGAGTTTTTAAAATCGGATCAGTAGTACCGGAAATTACCCCGAACAACCATATTTACAAACTTTACCTCTTTATAAATATAAATTTTAAAGAGCTTACGTGTTCTTAGGTACAAGTATAATACGAGTAGAAGAGAGTCAATAGACCAATACAATAATGTTGCAATTAATCTTTGTGTTTCGCAAGTTCTCTGTCAATTTTCATAATCGGTTCAATATATTGTATTGTAAATGTAACAGTTTTGCTTTAATATTTATATTATCAACTGATAATAAAAACGTGAACGTATTATCTAAAATGAAATTGATATTCTGACTGTCAGAGTGGAGAGATTTTCCGATAAAATATTTCAAAATTTTTACTTCGATCATGGTGACGCAATCTTACCTTATCTTGTTTTTAAGAGGCTTTGAGAAAGAACAGATTTTCATGTGTACTTCTTTTATAATTTATTATTATTATTAATAATATTCCTCTATTTTGAGCCTATTTTAACAGTTTGAAAGGGTAGCTCACGTAAAATACCGTTTTTATAAGAATCAAAATATTAAATTACTAAACTATTTATTATAATATTATTGGTTAAGTATTTATTTGGAAAAAGTGCGTGCAGTTAATTTACTGAAAAACAATATATGTATCTAAAAGATTTTTTAAATGGGTGATAATGGAATGATACACTTGCGCTATCGGTATACGTTGGCGGGGCACGATTGTAAGATGATAGGTGAAGATATGAAAGCAGGCCTATTAGCTCATCGTGATAATTTCGGGACCAAGAGAATTAATCACGATAGTTTTCCAGGAAGAACCGCGTGTAGGTCGACTTGATAGGATATAGATAGATACTCATTATTATTTCTTCCGTAAGATTACAATAGTAAACTTTTTATTTACAAACAATTACAAGAAAATATTAATGGCCTTATTGCTAAGAGCGATCTCTTCCAGACAATTTTTGGATGGAGAAGAATAATATATTGTTAGTAATGGGGCTATTAGACCCCCTTACTAAGAATCCCTTTCCCCCTTGTACAAAAGGTTACCCTGACGGGAACCCCATTCAGTTTATACATGAGATAAACTTTGGATGATCTTATTTATATCTAATGTTTTAGATTTAAGGGAAATATTAAGGCGAATTTGTTGCAAACTTGTTTGTGTTGGTATAGACTTGTTTTTTTACGAAGGTGACCTAGAAACTCTTGAGATCAGAGGGCGCCATCCTCACTTACGAGTATTAGTAGTGTACTTAAAAAATAATGCATTACATAGCCTCTTAAAGCGTATGCAATCTACGAAGTGTATTTATAGATACGTAATAGATTGACCCAGTTCCTTTATCATGTTCAGAAGTACTAATCGCACACGAGGCTTCTCGAGGGAAGATATTGCAGTTGCCTAATAATAATTACTTCTTGAATATCTTTTTTATTAAGTTCTTATATACTCGTAATGCATTTTTATCAAGTGATATATCATTTGTTTAAATTAAATTAAACAAACAGTCAAGAAATGTTATTTATCTTTTTACACGATTTCTAAAAGAATTCGTTATTAGTTTGTATTTTTTGTGGCAATTTTAGGCGATTAATAAGTTCAAAATTTAAATATTTTCATTCTTATATGTCTAATAACAATTTGTTCTTCAGTGTGTTTTAAATTGTCTCTTTTGAACTTATTATTAATCTTTTATAATTAGGTTTTACGTCTTGCTTAATTTCAGTCAAGAAACGTGTCCATAATTCCATACAAGCTGCTTGGTAACGTGAATAGTGATTTTATATGCTACATTGACTTGCAAATTGATTTATTCTTTTGTCCGTTGTTGGATCTTAAGACGGCAGTAGTTAAAATATTCAAGTATTTCAAGTAATTACAGTAACGAGGTTTAATTTAGGCCTGGGATAATTTAGATAATGAATTTTTGTAAATTAGTCCATGCCTGGAAACTCCGGTTTCATGCCCTTCGGCGTCTGGATTTAGAAAAATCTTTAGCTTGATGTTATTATTTTAATATTATTAAAAATCGCTTAGATTGGTTTACTGTATCTATACGCAAATAAGTTCCTAATAAATTGTTATTTACGAGATGCAGAAAAACAATAAATACTGTTACTTTACAATTCGATAAATTGTAAGTAAATCCAAAACAAAGATTTGATTGTCTTTTTACTTTTCATCCTGATGTATGGCAAACTTGTGAAGTTTAAAACTTACATTTTTAATTATATTTTTTATAGTATTTTTATATTATATACTGCTAGTAGGTAGGTTGGTAAAAAGTTTATGATATAATTTCATTTAATATTCAGGATTGTAAAATATATTGTTACACTCTAATTTGCTAGGAACAGAGTTGAAAATTACTATGAAAATAAATTGCAAATTATTAAGTTACTACGAAATATATAATTTCCCTAATAACTACTAACAATATTAATATTCATAACGCCGCTTATAAGGAAGGCCTATTTTTATTACATTTTATTCTTTTTTATTATATTCATTTTTACTGTTTTTATTTATATTATAGCGAATAGTAAATGGCTGATATAATAATATTAGTAATTTAATTTACATCACCTTTTTTTTTAATCTGTTTAGACAGATGGACTATTTTGAGCGCTTCGCATTAGAAATAAAACATGTAATCAAAAATCTATTTAGAGATTGGAAATTCGAAAGTGAAACACAGACCACTTTTTTTACATTATGATATATTACTTATAAAACATTATATTGATCGAAATTTAATGCAAACGCACCTAATTTATTTTTAGTACGGTCGCCGATGGCACCATTGTCTGCGGCCTGCTACCCTATTATTTATGGACGTAACCCACACGACCCCTTCAAAATAGAAATACCCCGCGATTCTTATATTACGTATAACGTTTTTTGCTAATATTGTTTTAAATAATATAAAACGCTGATAACTTTATTTTTTATTGCATCGAATTAGTCATATTCCATTTATTGTTATTTAGTAGCTGTTTTTATTATAAATTTTTTTAGAAAATATTTAATTATAAAACATAAATCATTAATGCAATTATGAGTTCTAATGTCTGTTACCGAATAAAGTAAGGTATACTTACCTACAGGTAAGCTCAGTAGCATATAATCGAAACTGAGTAAATATTCAGTAGAATTTAATATTTACTCATATTTACTGAGTAATATATAAATAGTATATATTTTACTGAATTACGTGTTATTTTACGGAAGTCCATATCACTGATTAGTTGATTACAATCATTTTGTTTGATTCTGCTACCATTAGTATGGGTGTAATTACCAATATTTGAGGATCATGTGTCTTGTGAGCGTAGCCCTAAATGATCAACATTAGGCTTCAAGCATTGATCAATTTGATAATGCCTTATTTAGAAGCGAGACACATGGCTTAATATGTGTGTTGATTATGATTATTGTGCCGTATAACTGTTATTCAGTCTATTTAATAACGGTCAGGGATTGTTTTTTTTTTTTTTGTGTGAAAATGGAATGGTAACCCCGCCTGCGCTAACGGGATACGCTGGCGGAGCACCAGTGAAGGGTGATCGATGAGAATGAAAACAGGTCAATTAGCTCATCATGATGAATTCATCAGGAATTAACCATGATAGTTTCCAGGGGGAACCGCGAGGAGGTCGACCTGGTTAGGTATATTGCTAGCAATGGGATTCTTAATCTTCATTACTAACAATCCCTTTCCCCTCGGTCCCCTTGGGGGCCAGTAGTTGCCACGCTTGGCAAGCGGATTGGTAGCCGCAGTCAGGCTTTAGAGATGTTTTAAGAGAGACGCTGCTTCACATCCCTCGCTCTCCTTTAATCGGCTCTTAGGAACCCACGGGAAGGAAGGGATGGCCTATTCTATACTGAGACCATACGGCCAATACACATATATTGTACTATTGACTAGCAAAATCAGTCAAAAGTACTTTTGACCGTATGCTTTAGTCAATAATACTTTTGACTAAAATAACAGTTAAACTACTAATAACTAATAATTTTTAGTCAAAACCACTTTTGACCAACCTGTTCAGTCAAAACCACTTTTGACCAACCTGTTCAGTCAAAAGTACTTTTGACTGATTTTGTTAGTCAATAGTGTTTTTGACTGGTTAAGAGTTTTGACTGCAACATATATACCTCCTAAGGAATCCTACATTTCTTATCGTTAAAAAAATATTATTGTTAAAATATGTTAGAGGTCGTTGCAATCTGCGCCTAAATCATTAATTTCGTAGATTGTAGTGGAGCTGCCGTTATGAAGCGTTTAAAGAACGATTAGCATGAATACGATATCGAATGATTAGTAATTGCAGTTCAAGGGCGAGAATACGAAAATGATTTCATCGATTGAGTCGTTACGATTTCATAGCGTATTTTTTTTTTATTAAGCTACTGTACTTTTTTTTTATGGGTGAAAATGGTATGGTAACCCCGCCTGCGCTAACGGGATACGCTGGCGGAGCACCAGTGAAGAGTGATAGATGAGAATGAGAACAGGTCAGTTAGTCCATCATGATGAATTCATCAGGAATTAACCATGATAGTTTCCAAGGAGAACTGCGAGGAGGTCGACCTGGTTGGGTATATTGCTAGCAATGGGATTCCAGTCTCTATTACTAACAATCCCTTTCCCCCGGTACTTCATTGTTAGGATAGGTAAAGATAAAAACGGTTAATAATGTATACTTACATAACATAAATAGTAATAACATTTATTTTACAGCAAATATGACAGTGACGTGACTGAAGAGTCGGAGAACAATCGCGGCGGACAGAGTGAGAACAAGCGCGACGATCCAATGGTGGACTTGTTCCCAGACGATGACCACGAGGACAACAGGACAAACAAATGTAAGTTTACTATGCACTACACACCCCATAGATGTAGTGTGAATTTTTTTTTATATCATTTTAAGGGCTTTTACCTTCTTTAGGTATATCAGTCCTATTGTACCCTGAACTGATTTCTCAAACAAAACTTACAGACTGGAAAGACAATGACAGATGTTAGAAGTTAGAAGTTTGTAAATGTGTGTATAATATGAGAATATAGGAAAAATACTAAATATTGACATTAGTTACAGGTACAGGTATTCCAAATATTATCCCTTTAAGGGATAAATCCGCTTATCGTTTTACCTTATCGTTTTGTTTATAACCTGACATTTAATTTGAATACGAATGTACAATAAAGTTCATAATAATAATACAACGAAATAAAATATTACTGTATTAAAATATATAGAGATACTTCTTTACCTGTATGTATTATACCCTGTTGTCATGGTACTGCTCATGTCTATAGGTGACGGTTACCACTTTCCGTCAGGTCAAAGTTGCATCAAAAATTTATCGCAAACATAGATTATGTTCTAGTCTAATTTACAGTTAAAAAATTATTACCAAAGTACATGCAGTTGTCACATCTATTTATATTTATATCTGTATTATTTAGGTATATTTTTCTAAATTGTACTTAGCTGTAATTTTAAATATTTTATGTAGAAATAACAATTGCATTTACATTGCAGCGATGTCACCAACACCACAATCGCAGTTTGCCCAACAAGTCAACGCTGGGTACGAGATCCCGGCACGCCTTCGTACACTCCACAACCTGGTGATCCAGTACGCGTCCCAGGGTCGGTACGAGGTCGCCGTACCATTGTGCAAACAGGCTCTCGAAGATCTGGAGAAAACATCCGGCCATGACCACCCAGATGTTGCCACTATGTTGAATATTCTCGCACTGGTTTACAGGTGGGAAATTTATTTTTATGTTCAATTTGATACCAGTACTTGAACTAATGCATATTCACAACAAGTTCCTTACAAGATAGGCAGGGATAACTTAGTGTTCTAAAGACTTCGTCTTGCAAATTACACTTATTTCATAAATTCTCATAACTCATGTGGTACATACTTTTGACGTATTTACAGAGTTAGTTCCTATTTTCACAATACACGATCTCTGTGATGAATAATCTGTCTACTACTAAATTAGACTAACATATATTTTTCATTTTAATAAATTAGATATTATGTATTATATAATTTAAATTTGCATATATAAAGATAATTTTTCAAAGAGAAAGAAAAAATTGTAATATTACCTATACATTTGTTATAATATATTTATGTATTGTTTTAGGGATCAAAATAAATACAAGGAGGCAGCGAATCTCCTGAATGACGCGCTGTCGATCCGCGAAAAGACACTCGGTGAAAACCACCCGGCGGTCGCAGCCACACTCAACAACCTCGCCGTACTGTATGGAAAGCGAGGTTATTATTAATCTATTCATAAATACATATACATAATAATAAAACTGTAATTAGACCGTGTCTATGCATCGCGCAAAAACAACTAGACGGATTTTGATGAAATATTGTGTGGCAATAACTTAGGGTCTGTGTAAAAGGGGATGTTAGTAATGGGAACTGTTATCCACATTGCTATCAATATATCCTGTCTGATCAATTTTCACAAGGCACCTTTCAGTCGATTCAGCGCTAATAGCCTAGTTATTTTGACATGCTTCTTTCGATATTAGCATGTAGCTAGAGAGAGAGAATTTCTTTTTTTGTTTGGCCCTGACAATGTTGTTACCTACAATCTGTCACAAATTACTTTAATATACCAACTTTTTGTATATTCTGTGATTACGTTTTAAGTTAATATTTACAATACAAAACAAAATTTGAAATCTAATAACTAAATAAAGGTACCTAACTCCAGGTGTATGTACTGGTAAAAAAGCCGATGTTATCCATCATCAATGTTTTATTTATATATGTGTATGGTGTATACAGGAAAATACCGCGAGGCGGAGCCACTATGCAAGCGTGCGCTGTGCATCCGCGAGGCGGTACTGGGCCGTGACCATCCAGACGTCGCCAAGCAGCTCAACAACCTAGCGCTGCTCTGTCAGAACCAGGTATGTACAGCCCAATTCACATAACGAAAACTACATAGATAACGTAACGACTCAGTTATTGAAACTATTCGTATTCTAATGGTACGCCTGCTTCACGGTAAAAACACGGGTGGGACAGATGTATAGATTATCTACTGAAGATGCCCCAAAATCTGAATAATGAAACGATTTAATGTGTGTGTGTGAATAAAAATATTTATAAGGTTTCGACTATGGAATATAATACTCATCTAGCCGAATCGTTACTGAAGATGGTTCCTCACAAACACAAACAGAGCACCACATCTATATATATTTACACACAATGAAATAAAAAATTGAGGGATGTGCTATGTTAACCTAGACAATCTATATCCATGCAGACAACATTTGTAGAAAGTCTCCTTCTGTTATAATGATAAATATAGATTAATTGATTAAATTGATATGTTTACCTTTAAATGATTTAAAGGTAAACATATCATTAAAACGTGTGGGACAGTATAATTGTTCCTACTTACAAAGATAAATTATTAGTTCCACAAAGTGCCAACGATCTCCAAAATCAATCAGCATCGACATTCTTATTAATATTGAATTTATAAAAATCATAAATGCATACAATAGAGTTTTAGTTTTAGATTAGTACTGAAAATGATTAGATACATGTTAATTTGCATTATTTTTTATTTAATAGAACAAATATGAAGAGGTGGAGCAATATTATCAACGTGCACTGGAAATATACGAAACCAAACTCGGCCCAGATGATCCCAATGTTGCTAAAACGAAGAACAATCTCGCATCTTGCTATCTCAAACAGGTACACATTAGTTGAAACTTCTCTTAAATATGTACAAATACCGATCAGTTAGTTATATTTATTGTTATATTATATAAATAAATAAATTCATATGATGTTTGTCGAGTTTAAAATTCCCAAATAGTGTTAATACTAATCGACATTATTTTATATAATTTTAATGTTAAATCCGGCTCGAAGTACCAATTGAACACAATCAAGTTTTTTTTTTATTCTAGATTTATACAAGAATGTCTTATATTACAAACATTACGATGGTCTTTAAAAGAATTATGAACAATTATTAATCGGATATAAACTTTGTCAAATTGTATCATGTAAAACAATGATAAGAATATTTTAACAATACCGCGGACATTGCGAGGATTTTGGATGGATAACTAATTTAAGAGTATATTTCTGATTTCAGGGCAAGTACAAAGAAGCTGAAACACTATACAAGCAGGTCTTAACGCGAGCACACGAGAGGGAATTTGGTACCATCGACGGTGAGTACTTACTATTATTATTGCTACATATGTACTATATTATTAAATGTCTTATAATGAATTATGTATTTAGGCATGACCTAACGAAAATGTACAAATACTCGGGATTGGTAGTTAAAATTTTAGTTTTCATATCAAAGATTGTACTAAAAATACATTTGTAAAACACTATAAAAACGTATATGCTACTTCTACACTAACTTATAGCATAACTATTAATCATTTATTTTATACTAAAGATCTAAACCACTTACTCCTTTTATTTGAAAAGTTTCTTAGGCTATATAATAAAAACAACAAGATTTTTTTTTATTTATTGTACCTAGTTTTAAATCAAAATTCATAATGTAGCTCTTACTCGTTCGACAAATAAAGGTTTAGTGAAATGAAAATATTTATGATATTTTATTCGAGTTTTGTATTGAATACTCAATTATATGTATACCACAGTACCTATAAGTGTTCAAGTCAGCTCGACTTAGTACATCACTAATGGGGATGCTTCCGCAGGTGCGTAAATCTATTTGAATATTTTTAACATAAACACGCTTAGTCTGGGCTTTGATATAGGATTTATTTATTTATTTAAAGTTTAATGCACAGTAAAACTCTATGTACATTTGGCGAACTTAACACCGGACGGTGTTCTCTACCAGTCAACCATTGGGCAAACCGGGAAATACGCAGGCAGTGCATTTTTTAATAGAGGAAAAATAATTATATTATAAGGATTTCTAACGAAAATAAACGCAAAGTACATACACGGATCTAACTTGAAAATTATAGTGTTTTACGAATATATTTTTATATATTATTATTAATTTAATACATTCTTATATGTTTCTGTTTACCATTTCAGAGTATATAGCGTCATTAAAAAAGCCCAAAAAATAACAATCACCCCGCATCTTTTACTTAAGTTTATATTAATTTACAAAGAATGAAAAAGCCAAGAGTTACGAAGATATTTTAGATCTCTGTTTCAAATTATGTGTGTATTAATTATATTTTTCGTATTCTCGGACCATTGTTATTTACATTCCTATATTTTAGTTTATTTTATCAACACTAATATAGTCTGTTATTTGCTCAAACATGACAATTGCGGGATTACAGTACCTAATAGGTGAATGACAAATATTGTAAAATTGTCTATATTATTAATTAAATTAATCTGTACTACGATGGTTATTGCATGCTTTTTTTTTTGTGTGATTGATTCTTGCCAAATTTTATGATTGACCTAATCAAAGGGAAGAATTCCTTCCAATTGTCAGAATTTGCGCTATAAAATCATGTATCTTTTGATTACGTTGACTTAAAGGTTTGATTTCGTAGCTTCAAGGGATTGTAGCCTTGAGTATTAGATAACACTTTCAACTTAATATCTTTACTTGTTTCTGAAAAAAAAAATGGTCTTGACTGATGTACAGACAGACGGAAAATGAACCAACCGTGACTTGTTTCACATTATGAAAAATTGTGAAAGAGAGCAATTGTTTCTGTGCATTATTTAATATAAATATTTGTCATTCACTTGTGACATATTATTTATGTTATAACCAAAGCACAAAATAGAAATTCTAATATTTATTATTTGCACGTCACAGTATAATATTTTTGTGATTTTGGTATATAATATAAAATTAATAAAATAATAAATTTGCCAATTATTTTATTAGGGAATGTAGTATTTGATTTTCGAATATTATTTTATTTTGCTAGATGTTCCTAGTAATTAGTGTTGCTTTTGTAAATAGTAGATAGTAAAAAATATTATTAAAATTTAAAAAAAAATGCATGATAGACAATGTTTACTATGAATTTTAACTATTGTTGAACTATAGCTTATTATAATTAAGGTTTCATAAAATGAAGAAACTTGCAGCAGATTTATATTTAATTTAAAAGTGTATAGTATCTACTTCCTAAAGGTGACTTAATTTTCGCAAAAGATGAAAGAAAATATTTCTCATATCACTAAAGGAAATTTAACATTTATAATTTTCTGATACATCATTTTTATTAAATGTGTGTGAAATATATTAATTACAAATTATCTAAGATACACAATAGTTTCTTCCATTTTTTTTCATTTTATGTGTTGTAACCACGGTTGAGGAATGGTTGTGGAAAATTCGATTTACTATTGAATATAATTATGCCAAATTATTACTTCTTTCTATCACTAATATTGTATATATTTATATCTTATGTATTTACATAGGATAAAAAGTGCGATGTTATTTTTATTCCTCATTCATACTCATTGATATTGAAAAAAAAAAACCAAGATGCACAATTAGATAAATTATGTACTAATTTGTAAACAGCCACTGAAGTTAGTTTTGAAACGTTAGACAATGTTCTTACGTATTGTAAATATAAAAATTACTAAGTTTTATAATTATACAGTAAGTGTTCATTGTACAATAATATGTTGTTATATAACGAGGTGTTGATTTTATTTTACTTTCGAAACAATGAATTGTATAATTTGTTTGCCCACTTAAAAATTTAATTCATCTTTTTTTTTTTTTTTTGTATAATATCAATTGTTCACAATATTATTTTATTTGCGATTACGCGCGATTAGATTTTTTATTTTTATGATTTATCTAATAGCGTGCGATACGCGCTTTAAAATAATATTAATCTCTATATTCTTTTATAATAACATTTTCAACTAAAAACTCATCTTTAATAGAATAACAATATAACCTGTAACAATTGTGATCGAGTTATAAACTCATTTTTTATATGACTGTATTAAGATGCATTTGATTCTTATTTATATGTATTCGATATTATAACTATTTATAATAGGTTTTTTCTTTTCAATATAATTTTCACAACAAAGTCTGAGTAAACTTGCCGTCCTGTGTTTTTAAACACGTGCCTTACTCAAACGGAGCCAATAGTATAGCTATATACTTGTTATATTTCTTCTAGAACACAACAAACGGTAACGATATCTCATGTTAAAATTATAGAAGACGCAATGCAAAGATCTGTACTGAGTTGTAGAGGGTATTGGACCGCTATCTTTTTTGTCAATAATTTATTATAAATATTTATAGTATAAAAATAGTATAAAAAATTTGTATAATAAAAATCATCTAATATAATTGATCTAAAATGGCGGTGCTAATCGAGTTTTTTCCTAACATTCAACATTTCTATTATGTCCGAACATTTTGGTCTGACTTTATTTCTACGTAGTTTTTGTTGTTTTATTGTAGTTTAATTTATAAATTTCATTCGTTAGAATTATATTTGACTATTATCTTTATTTAAATAAATAAATATTGAACTAATTATAATGATTACCTTTTTAATTACATCTCATACTGTCAGATGGTCTTAGGGAGGAATCATCAAAATCAGCGTGTACTCATAATACGAATTGTAAAAGTAGACGAAGCAAGATTCGTGTATAGAGCTCATTGGGACTCGTTTCTGTTTGTCTACTCCGTAATGGATCTAGCATAAGGATAAAAAATTTCATGTCCAAAAATAATTATTTACAGAAATATCGTTACCGGTTGGCGCATTTTAGTTGCGTATATCTACAGTGACAATTTCTGTCTCTCTTTAGAACAATATGTATTAGATATGTGATGTGAAATCGGCTGTGTGGTCATTAGTGATGTTTAATGCCTTATTTATATAACAGCTTAACTATGAATTCAATTTCATACGTTTAAGCGGACATATATGCATATATAATGAGCTCAAATGCCTTTTCTCGTGAAAGGAACTTGGTAGCGTTTCAGAACGAATTTATATAAATATATTGTTATATGTGATGCTATTTAGTAGATAGTACATAGAGTGTCCAACAATGGTGATTCATTATCATATCAACAGTTATCTCTCCATTGTTTAACATAAACCTCCCCCATAGACTGTTATGAGGAACGGAGCCACGCTTGACAGATGGGTTGGCTACCGCAGTTTAACTTTTGGTGTCTTTTAGTGATACGAAAGCAGTTAGGCTTTGGTGATGTTTTAAGAGCGACGCTACTGCCCATCCCTCGACTATTAAGTTCCTTTAGTTACTTCTTATGACACCCACAGGAAAAGAAAGCGTGACCCATTCTATGCCTGGACTACACGGTATAGAATGAGCCATTCTTGCGACAATGGTGTTTATTACACATGATTTTTGTCAGGGGATGGTTTGATTTAATTTAATTGTAAACTTGTATGAGGTTATTCCGTTGTCACTCTATGGTATTCAATATGTAAACAATAAATTTTGATTTACTCATAAATTTACCAATAATACATTTTACAATATCATTTTTAACGTGCATATGGGCCCTAAGATTTGTGATAGTGTAATTCATTCTCACAGCTACATTCATACAGCGATTAACCAACTTCCAAACAAAATTACCTTTGCAGAGGTTTGTTATAAACTCACGCGAGTACGAATGGAGAATATTACAGTTAAATTTCGTTCTAAACCACTATTTTCATCGACTTATTTGGAAACTAGCAAGTGTCATATTGATCAGATGATAGCGTTTTGCTTAAACCTATGAATCGCCTGTTGAATGCTCTAATGTTTAGTATTATAGAATTAGTTCCACTTGTAGAATATAATAAATTTATGTGCAATGATGTTTTAAGTCAATTTTATATGCCAAATATTCAACTGATATACTATTTTCATATAAACCGCTGAATTTTATTTATATTAACAGATGTATTATTTATTATTGTAGAGTACATTTATTTCGATCATTAAATTTATTGTAAAATATGTATTTGGTTTATTTAATTTAACCTTCTGAGGCCATAAAAATATTGTTTTGATTATGAATCCTTTTTTATGGTCTGAGCATAAAGTTCTCATACAGTACGTGCGATGGGGGTGAATTGTTAACAAAATACAATATTTAATAGGTGAGTGACACAAGTTTGGATATTGTGTGGCACAGGTAGGAAAGGAATAGAATTTCTTTGGTGATGTTTCTTTTATTTATTTTTTTTAATTTTTATTTTATATAATCCGTAATTAGTGTTGTACTGCCCTTTGTGTCACACCTTCCCGACTTGTGTCACATTTAATGTATTCTTTTATATTCAGGTGGCGTTGATTGCTTCTATCTCTATGGCTTCCTATCATGTTAGTGTTAGTGCGTTTAAACCATGTTTGTATTTATGTACTATCTTAGATATTATCTTGCAGAATATCTTAATATCTCTATAAATCGTTTGTTACTTCTATTATACATTTGTATGTGTATATTTTTTATATAGAAACAAATATAGTTTTATAGATTAAAATGTGAACAAATTAGGGTTTCAATTTATTTTTAAATACATTCTTATTCATTTACTTGGTTCAAGCACACTACGCTTACAGGTTTTGACGTAATAATTATTGTTCATTTTTTTAATTTTCTTTTTACATAGTATTACAATTTTCTATTAACAGGCGACAATAAACCGATATGGCAAGTGGCTGAAGAAAGGGAGGAGAACAAACATCTTCAGAAGGAGAACGCGCCGTATGGTGAATACGGCGGTTGGCATAAGGCTGCCAAGGTCTGTTTTTTTTTTTAATAACAAAAAAATTTGTTTATCATTAGTTATTTATTATTAGATTATTTTTTTAGATATTGTCACAAATTTTTTCTTCATTAGTTGACTCTCTCTACAGCTCGACTCTACAATTTACTCTTATGAAATAAAGCCTAATTTATTATAAATTATACCAATATATATTTTAAAAATCCAATATAAATACACCTATCCCCCGATTTACACGGTACTTGTTTTACACGTTTTCGCTTTTACACGGTTTTCCAAATAAGTTTTTTTTTTTGTTTTTATCGCACTCTACTAAATGCTACTGTGTTTGAACACGTGCGCTCTCTCACAGCTTATGTGCTGACTTGCTGCACATGCACACTGTGTCTGTATTTCTTCGCATAAAATTAAAGTTTTATCTACGGAAAATTGTATTTGAAAAGTTTCACAGTGTCAATTTATTTTTTTATATTGTAATTAAATAAAAAAAACAGTGTTTCCGTAATATATATATTTTAACTAAAATTTTTATTTCTGTGTACACCTAAAAATATTGAAAAAAATCACAACTGTTAAATAGCAAAATTATGTTTTCTGCAAACTTTTCGATTTACACGGTTTTGACATGATGTGTGCATCCGGCATATAAATCATGATTTGTGCAATACAATGGGCCGCCCCTTCCTTTTGTAAGAGTTTCGGGTGTTTTAAGAGACGTTTAAGGTAACTTAATGTTAGAGGTATGAGCAACAGCGTCCCTCACAAAACACCACCAAAGTCTAACTACGGTTGCCAACCACGCGTGGCAAAACCTCTTAATAGCAGTCTATGGGGGAGGCCAATGTTCAACAGTTGACAGTTAATGGCTGATATAAATTAATGAATGGATGACTCACGATAGTTACTATTCAAAAATTAAAATTCGATAAAGTATAATGTAAAATGTTAACTGTCACCTATAAACACGAATAGTACCGTGGACAACAGAGTATACTGTATCGCCCATGATACTACCTATGCGTTGCCATATCCTACTCTTCAAACTGTAGCACTGTCGTACAGAGGTACACAAGCAAACGAATTTTGTACAAAGTCTCCCTCTGGTATCATCGATGTCAACATAGAATACATTTTTATTTGTAAACACTTTCAGGACGATTTCAAACATTAATGAAAGATATTGTTATATTATCATTGAACGTTTTCTCACTCCTCACCGCAGGTGGATTCACCGACCGTCACCACGACACTGAAGAACCTCGGCGCCCTCTACCGGCGTCAGGGCAAGTACGAAGCTGCCGAGACTTTGGAAGACTGCGCCTTGCGTAGCCGAAAGGAGGTAGACAATAAATAATCATATTTTAAATACCTAATTTTATTCCCATAAAGTTGCTACATTGTGGGTATTAGCCACTAAGTCTAAATGTTTTTAGTATGAAACTAGTTTCTTGCTCGCCGCCTCGTAACCGTGGATTTTAGAAGTTGGAAAAACAATGAAATAGATCATTACTAGATGACGTATTACGATAAAGCATACACCACTTTTTAAGTTTGTCTTGCTTATTGACTTCAAGAATATAATACTGAAAACTGCATGCAATTTCATGCAAAGGTATTTGTGTGATGTCGGAAGAAACATACAGACAGATAGACAATTAAAAAAAAAATGTTTTTGTCTCTATTGCTCTTACTAAGACGCCTTGCATTATTTTTTCTTAAATATCTCTCATGTACAGACATGGTCAAGTTACTATTTCATAATATTAGCAAGATAATATAGGTCATACACAAATAGAACTCATAGTTCGACCGTTAAGTCAATTTTTTTCTTTATATAACTTAGAATGGCAAACAAGCTGACGGTCCACCTGATGGAAAGTGGTAACCGTCGCCTATAGACATAGCAGTACCATGGACATAACAGAGTATACTGTTTCGTCCATGATACCCCTCATGCGTTGCCATTCCTGAGGACTCAGGTGTTATTCCTCTGTACCCTGTACATTCACGCCTGTAATTTCATTTATATAGCGGGAGGTACCGTAAGAAGTTGTTTTGATTTTGTTAGGTTTGCTTTAATTAAAGTTTTTAGTTCTGTTAAGACACTAGCGCCTCTGGCGGCGAATTAGCTGCAGATTTTATTGTCATGCTAGATACTCTAATAATTATCGTATTTAATTTATTCCTTTTTTATAATAATAGTGTAAAAACGTACAAATATATACTAATAATGGTAATGTACGTACTTATCAGTCCTTCCTAGTTAACAAGGTATTATGTGTAGCGATTGGATATTCCATAAGGATTCAATAAGCGATTTGGCAAATACAGACCAACAAGGAATGTCTTTCTAGGAATAGTTTTTTTTTTAAATAGTCACGATTATAAATAACACAACCGATATTGGTATTTATTTGTGGCCAATTCCAACATTGTAGCAATTTTGTTGTTAAAAAATGTTACCTTGTTAAACTTTGCAAAGTGTTATTACAATTTCTTTATAGTTGTTTTGTATTATTCACAAAATCAAGAAAATTTATTATGTTATGAACCAACAACATTACACTTTTTTTTTATTTTTACTTATTTTATGTAATTTTTTATAAGTAGAAATTTGGCCCACGTTCAGTGTTTATGTTTATTTTGAAAAGTCTTTGCGCTCAAAGGTTTGATGGTCGATTATTAGAATTTGATTACAGATTTTAATATTTGGACGCTTAAAATTATAGCGACGTAAAGCCTCTACATGAAATATTTAATAATCATGTTAATGTATAACAGTAAAATGTCTGAAACTGTTAAACTTTATGTTCGTAAATTACATGACTAATTCGAAAGCTTGTCAATCATTCAAAAGACGTTACATTGGCATACATTTTAATTTATATATATTGTAAATTTTATTAACGGTATTAATTTCTTACCATTACATTATTTTCGTGTGGTCCCAGTATAGAAAGACTCACCCTTTGCTTTTTCATGGGTGTCTTAAGAGGAGACTAAGGGAATTAAACGGTTGAGGGATTAAAATTTCATCAAAGCCTAACTGGGATTGCCAACCTGCTTACCAAGTGTGGCAACTACTGGCAAAACTCCCCAATGGCACTCTATGAGGGAGGCCTGTTCAGTAAAAAAATTTAAAAACTTTTTATAGGTATATTTATAACAATGTTTATTTTCCTTTCATTTTACCTTTTCGTATATAACTTATAGGTTATATATATTATAGGTTCATATACTTTTTTTTATTAAGGATTTAATATGTAATATAACCTTTGAGAGCATCGACGAATTTATCGTAATTATTTTATATTGGTTGTTGTAAATTTAAACTTTACTACTTATCTAGTTTATGGCCAAAATTTTAATTATTACTATTAAAATGTGTTTAAGTATCTATTTATACAATTTGCGACAATACAATTCCATCAAATTCTTTTTATTGCTTTATTTTTATATAATGCACACATAACACATACATATTTACTATATTATATACTGTATTGACCGCTATTTGGGCACATGATTAAGATAACGTGTTGATTTGCACGCTGCCTAGCACGTTCAGCAAGTAAGTTCACAAAACAAAAGCTCCTATCACGATCTTGATATTCACCTCACAATTTTTAATAATAAACAAATTCGTTAAGAATACATTTTAATTGAAGTGTGTATCTACACTGTAGTAAGAAATTTTCTAAACCAGTAAAGTAAGGATTCAGCTTTGAATATACAAAACTAGCTGTGTCCTGCGGCATTGTCTGTGCTGTACTCGTTTTGTGTGAATTTTAAGAAATTCTTAGTATTGGTTTACGTTATAAAAGGAATTGTGCAAAATTTAATGTTTTACTGTTTCAGTTGTGTTGTTGACCTGCCAGTAATATTTTTTAGTATACTAAATTATATTTTTTTAATACATTACAGTTAATACGTCTTAGGGTGATTGATTGGCGTTAAATATATTATGAATTGCTCTCATTAGGCGTTGGACATCGTGAAGCAATCCCGAGCGAGAAGCGGGCGTCAGGGCGGCCGCGAAGGACGCGAGGGGGACCCGCAGCTCGACGCTGCTGAGGTTAGGATTCTCACATAGTGCGGTTGTGTCATGTCTCCGAGGGTACACATGTCTTGTTGCCTCTTGTCGTCTCATGTCGCCTCCTGTCGCCTCCTGTTGCCGTCTTGCATCCTATCAGGTAAGGCGACTGAGTTCTTGCCTCCTGATACCGGTTTTAATAATGTAACTTTAGTCGCCTTACTAGTGTGTGGAAAAGTGTACTGCGAAAACGGTTGATGCCTGTGGTAGCTTTTTTTTATAATTTCTTTAAAACGGATCTTGTTAACGTTGTATAACATATGCAAGAGTAATTTTAATATGTACGTATGTATGTATGTGTAGTGTAATTATTTTTATCAGATACTGCTATTATTTACTGAAATACTGGCAACTAATAAAAAAAAACTTGTTTTTTTTTTTTAATCATGGTAATGGGAACGTAGGAAACAAATTGCTTTGTTAATTTAGACACATATGTACCACAGCTCATATGAAACTAGCGTACCAGGTAGTCATAAATTCGATTTATGAAATCACAATTGCATTTATAAAATTATAAAAAAAAAAACCTAAACAGGCATCCTAATCGACAATAGAGTTACATTGTTTAAATTGTAAACACATTCTAAATACTACACTTTTCCACTAATCATGAATGTTTCATTGCAAAGATTGTTTTCGATTGCATATCACTCGTTGTTCTATCATATGTATTCGTTTTCATAATGTGCGTTAAGTAGGTGTATATGCAAATAGCACCGCCCTTTGGCTTCTTTCACCTATTTTAAGGTTTCACATTTGTGTCTGTTAAATGTATCATTCACACCTAATTATCCGTGTATGTGCACTATATATAATCATTATAATAAGCTTTTATATGTATTAAATATTATTAGTTAATGTATATTTGTGTCGCAGTAAGTGTGTGACATTTTACATGAATGAACGTTGCTAGCTAAACACTTTGCCCGATTAAAAAAGATTTTCTTTTTTTTTCTTAGCTCACATTGAGTAACTAGGTAGGTATGTGGCAGCGCGCAAAGTACAAATATAAAGTGTATTAATTTTTATTTTATTTTTTTTAATAGATATTTATTATATAATATTTATTTTTCAAGTATTTTTTTTCTGTATTTATTTTATCATTAAAAACTATTTTTTTTTTTACATATTCACACCACCATGCCCATTTTTATTTGCACCATTTTAATTTTGTTTGTTTTTTTATTTTCCTTTCCGTCATAGGGTTCGAATCAAGCGAGTGAGCCACGCATGAACCTAAAATCAAAGCTGTTCAATGCGCTAGGGATCAACACGGGGAGTAATGCGCCGCACCAGTAATTTAAGATTTATCCTCTAGAAATATTATTAAGTTACACACTCGCTTTTAATGCGACATAAAATAGTATGTAATCTGCGTTTCTAGTACTATATCTTTTCTTGCCTATTCAATTTTCGTTTAATCATGAAACGTTATTAAAGTCTAATATCGATTGGCTGTAGAAATTGCAGAGTGCATGCTCAATTTTATGTAGTAAACGCTTAATGATCCCTGGGTTTTTTGATATGAGTATACATGAGTAAAGCGCCTTTCGTCAGCCGCTATTTACTCATCCCAACTCTCAAATTATCCGCTCACTATTTTTTGTGGGATCTCACGCGTTTCACGATTACTGCCCGTCACTTTGAATGTCTTAATTTCTAACTTTAAGCCCTATTTTAATTATCTCTAGAAGACATTTTTGTATTAAAAATAAGTTTTATAAATTCAAAGTGGCAGGATTTTAATAGCTTTGTAAGTATTATTTATTAGCATGCGATAGGGAAATATATTGAAAATAGAAAAAAAAAAAAACAAGTGTGATAGAGAAAGAATGTTATTCAAGCATGTGAGCCGTCCCATTTGAGATACGATCAGTTAAGATATTATATTGTAGACGGTTTAGTTTTATTTTAAATAACAATGACATCTTGGATTTCAAAATGATTGCATTTTTTATAACTAATAAAAATAATTGTATTAAATACAATACTACAGTTAAATGTGTAATCAGCTTCTAATTTAGTCTATTGTTAAATATTATAAATACAATATGAAGGAAACCAATTTATTACAGATAGTACAATCAACTGTGAAGCACACATATAGTATTCTCACAGGTGTTTATTAATTTTTATGTTGACTGTACGAGTACATGCCTAAAAATATTGGTTATACGAAATGTAATATGTTTAGAGATTGTTTTAAACATTGCATTTATTTAGTTGTGGAGCGAAGATATTATAATATACTTAATTACACGCATGCTTTAAACAACGATTTTATTTGCTTACAATTTCAATTTTAATATTATGATATAATTTAAATGTGTGTTCTTTATAGAGAACGATGCATGAATGAGGTTATATTGTGAACGTCCGATGCTATTTTATCATGTTTATAAATAGTCATATTATTATTTGTTTTATTATTTTATCGTTTATTATTATCGGTAACATTAATTATGCTTACATTAAATTTCATTCCAGTGTTAGTGTAATATCGGTTTAAGCTTTATGTGAGACTATATAGGTGATAAAATATTATAGTATTTTTTTATATACATTGATTTTTATATCTGTACGAGGGTGCTGCTTGAGAATGTGGATTTTTCTTTTTATTTCTAATGTACACTAGAATATATTTATACAAGAGACATTCGGCAGATTTTCAGTTTTATCTATTACTTATCTAGTAAAGAATCTCTCATTTTACTACAATAATAATTCCCTTGTCACAATAATATTATATTAAATATTCACATTTTTTTTATTGTCTCGTAAAATCGCGTCGAATTATAATTTTAATAATTGTTAATAAATATTTATGTAACATTTTTCGTTTTATTTATTTCTTTTTCGATTTATATACGGTACCGGTGCCCATATCGGTACACGTTTCGGTACATACATAAAGGTGAGTCTACAGTGTTATGCAATTTATAGCCCACATATGTACACACATTATTTTATACTAAACAGTAACACATTATCATCATAAACAAGCATGAGACAACATAAAATATTGACATGAAAATCAAACGTTCATTTACTGATGACGCCTTTTGCTGTTAGATGTGTAGATGCATGACCGCATCTCCTTCTCATTCACAAAACACTGTTATTGTCAATTTCATAATCACTAGTATTCTACGTGTTAGATATAGAAATTTTATGTTTTAACCGTTTCCGGAATCTTGATGTTAAAAAAAAAAAAAACTTTGGTGTTAAAGTCTATGTGATGCCCAAAACCTATACATCCTTTTTGCTATGGATTTTTAGTTGAAACAAAATGGAGTGTAAATTGCATAACACGGGCGCGGCAGGACTCGGCCGAGGTGTCGCGCAGCGCCAGTTTCTCGAAACTGCGAGAATCGTTGAGGCGGTCTTCGGCACGACTATTCAATCGGATCGCGGGCCGCCACTCGGCTAACCTGCCCCCTGATGTAGACTACACTGACCCCGAAAGGTAAAATTAGGACCTCTAGGCTGTACACACTACGCTGCATACATATATATTTTTTAGATTTATATTTCTAAATGGAGCGTCGAGTGTTAAAACACGACCCAAAAGCGCGCCAACTTTAAGTGTTGCAAGTAATAAATATTATTTTGTCATTTCTGTACAAATACACTAATGAATTACAAATAATAAAATGGTGGGAACATTTAAATTGAAGTTTGAAATTATAAATATAATTATTATATAAATTCGCGATGTAACAATGCGTAATTGATTATGATTGCTGTGTGCTTTGAATAAAATAAGAATTTTCGACTTACGAGCCTCTTATACATGACACGGGCAAAAATAATGGTCGTCATAAAAATGCTAGACAATTTCCATTGAGGAAAAAAGAAAAAGAATCACAAATAATATCTATACACACAAAAATAAAAAGTTAGTCTGTTTTGGCGAAGTGTTAGTGGAGAGACACTCCATTTAGATATTGTTTATTTTCTTATAATGTAATAAAATAATATGATGTTATTTAGTCTCTCGTTTGCTTCATAGCTGTTATATAGCTAATATGCAATATATGTTACTGTTTTATTTTAAAAGAAATTGTGGCGTAGTGTGTGAGTTGCCTTATCGCTTAGCTCGTGTAGCTTGTCAACAAAGAAGCCGTAGCCGTCATGAAATTTCCCATTTTGAAGGTAAATTACACCATTTTTTAAATACAATAGGTGCTAATTCAGTTATTAAAGTTTGATAGTTTAGACAGGTTATTATTACTATGATAATTTAGAACGTAAATTTTATTTTTATTCTTTTCTTTAACTGTCACATATATTAATATTTTTTGGTAATTATTAGAATCAATATAATTTCATGACAATATTAGAATATCTATATAAGTACAATTATAGTGTAATATTAGTGTTTTTTTTACATGTAAAACTATGTAAGCTAATTAAATCTGTATTTAAACAAAGTTGGAAATCGACTATCTCTCAACCTAAGGATATACATATATAAAACAATATCTATACAATGAATGAAATGATGATAGAAGCGTACTAATAGCTTTATAATTAGATGTATTTCTATGTATTTTTTTGTGTAATTTTATAAGAATATAGGTAATATCACCCTAAGCTAATGACGTTCTTTGAATATCAAGAAATATCTGTCCAGAGCGATAAAATTTAATAAAAGAAAAACCATATAAGTAGCCTATTATTAGAGGGTGAATCAGTAAAAGTAGTTAGCCTTTATAATTATTCGGCACTCAGTCTAAATAAGAAATTTGGTTATTAATTTTGTTGAGTTTAGTCCTGTTGATAACATAGTTATCTTCCAAGTTAGTCCCTTAGTTTGTACTGTAGTCTTAGCTTTCTATATAAAGTTGTGAAATCGCTACTTTTTTACATTTTTCTTATATTTTTGATATAATTCTAAATATATATATTATATCTAATGAAATACACCTACCTTTAGTATAATACAATAAAATGTATATAACCTACTTAACGAAGCAATTGTTTCCATCAGCATGAAACGCGCAAGTTCCCTGACCGCGCTCAATAAGCTACGCCCAACAAGCCCCAAGCACCAAGTACTACAACAACGGTAGCCAACAAAGACAGCACGAATACTCAAGTATACAACGTTCACTTTCGTCCGTATATTGGCACTGCAATCGTGATAGCGGTCGCGACACTAACACATCTACCTAACAACCTACCAATTCTAAAGGTGTTCTAGATTTTAGAATATCCAATTCTTTTGCTTCGCTGACGAACTGAAATTATTTTAATATACCATATTATCATATCGAAGATTTAACTAGTCTATTCCATGTTTTTTTTATTGAATGATAATGAAATGGTGACCCTGTTTGCGCTATTAGTTGGTTGGTTGAAATATCAGTGAGGGCTGATAGATAAGGATGACATCAGATCAGTTATCCCATCGTGATTAATTTACTAGGAATTGGTCACTTTTTCACGAAGATCTCATGGGGTAGATGTATTACTTATTAATAGAATTGCTCGTTCTTTTTATTATGTTAACAATCTTCTTTCAGTTTTCAGTTCGTCAGCGAGAGCCACATTGTTTTATTGGAAAAAGAAAAAAATGTTTTTAGTAAAAAATAAGTTTAAACTATGGCACTAAAATAAGACTAAGAGCTGAAACAGTTTCAACCACAGAGATGGAGTTAAATAGATACGGCAATATTTTTTAAACTCTGCTTAAAAGTTTTGTGATCCAAAATGACATCGATAAATCTACAGATAATCCAATTAAGTTTAATCAACATTTGCAATACAAGCTATTTAAGTAAACTGTTCGTAGTAGAGCCGTTTCTTCGATAGGTATTTCATATGCCAAACATTCCATAAGCGGAAAGTTGCTTGCTAAAATACTGACATACGTATTGTTCTCTCGGTAATAGAATTCATTGATGAATTATTTGTAAGAGGATCGTTTCAGACCCGAAAAAATTTAAGAAGCATGACTGTTGAGTTGTGTTTACGCAGTATACCTATAATAATAGTTTTTATAACATTGTAGTACCTATCATACTATCCCTACCATACCATAAACATATAAAACGTCTAGTTTTATAATTATCGGCTTTTGTACTTTGATTTCTTGCAGACTAAGGAATTGCGGTATTTATCTTCATCTATATCTGTGGTTGACATATATCTACTTGTCTATATGCAATATTTTTAATATCTTGCTCCACATTTAATTCAGTACCTAATAATATATTAGTCCAGCTGCTTAGCCCAAACACTTTCGAACCCTCTTCGTTTAGGTAGATATAGTTAAGTATTTTTTAATTTAATATTAGCTAGTTAAAATTGATCTCATTTACAAAATCTCGTTTATTCTTTAGAAGAGGGCATAAATAGACTCAGATTCTTTGTGTTATACCGAATAAAAACATTCCAACTTTTCCCAAACTGTATGCCTATTATTTGGTGACATCATAAAAATAAAATCACGCTTTTGGCTTGTTCAAATAAATTGACGTAAGTTTATAGCAGTTATCGTAGTTTGTAGGATTTACAGACAGAAAAAATAGTAAATAAGTATCTAGGTAATCATTTAAAGAAATTCTTCATTATTTGAGAATTATGGAGCTAGAAAAAATATGCTATGCTGTGTGGTCTTTTATTAGGTACTTATATATTTTATTACAGTATGAATAGTCTGAGATAAAATCAAAATTTATTTGTACTTTACAGTACAAATAAATACAATGATTTCAATTTCATCTTTTACATAATGAAATTGAAATGATTGGAAAAGAATAATTAATTGAAACGCATCAAAAAAAAAAAAAAAAAAAACTAATAAAAAGCGTGCTGTTGTAAGGACACCGTGGACGACTCTTCATCGATTTTGGACACACGTTGCTTTAGAAATAATATTTAATTTCGTTCGTAGAACACTTTCTTAGAAGGATGCTTATGATTTTGATTTTAGCTTTACAAAAACATTACATGGTGTTATTGCATACATTTAAAATAATATTAGGTAAAATAATTTTCGAATATGAATTGACTGTTGCATTGATTTTTACAAAAAAAAAAAAATAGGAAGAATCATTTATTACCATATAGGTGCATTATTGATTGATACCTACCAGCACACACACAGCTAGATAAGACTATTTCGTACTGTATGCTTTGCTATGTAAAACAATAAAATGTATTTATTTAGGTATTTTACGGCTTTTATACATATTATTAATTAATTGGAGGAATTGGAAGGTAAATAATGATTGTAATTTTTAAAGTTTCTACTAATTACATTAATCTTCTATTTGACCATATTAAAATTGGATATTAAATACCTACTAAATCAATCAAACGGAAAGAGAAGGTTAATGAAATTATGTCAGTGGAAAAAAATCCACGGGATTTTATATTAACTTTGATTGTCACATTTTCTATTTAAAATATGTTTTTATTTTAGTGGTTGCATTTTGTTATTTATTTTGAATAAAATATTCAAAATTGCATTGTTTGTTGTCATTTTAAAATTTACAGGTTGTAGAATTGTTTAATGACAAACAAAGCGTCATTCTCCATCTTTAGACGCGTTTTATTGTACTCGTAGATACCTATGCCTTAATAGACTTCTGTTAATATTTTTTAAACTATTAAGGCAAAGTAAGAATCTTTAAACTTTTCAATTTAATATTAAGCTTGTAGGACTTTACAGATCTATCTAAATAGCACATTTAAAATTTAGGTACTTAGACAAATAAAAAGCGGTATTTACAAAAGATAAAAATAGACTATCCCAAAATCGTCTTGTGTACACATTTAATGAACTTACCGACAATAAATAAAGCGAGATATGACTTTAATCGCGTCTGTTCAACTCATCAACTACGCAACCGCAATATTTGGACGCAGCACTGAATAAATCATGTCCATTAATAGTAATTATATATTGTAGTAGGTAAGTTGTAAGTACCCCTAATGCATTCACACTTATTTTAGAAATAAAGAAGAAAATATAGTAGGTGTTCCAGTTTGTTTTCGTATTACGAAATATGACGCATAACATATTGAGTTTAATTTTTTATTAAAAAAAAATAAAAAGTAGCGAAATTGCTATTCTAGAATGAGAAATTTAAAACAATAACTATCTAATAGGTACGACCGACTAACTTAAGTAGGTCCTACTTTTATTTAATAGAAATATTTACCGTACTTTGTACAAAAGCAGTCTGCTTGAATGCCTCTGTTCCATTTCTATTACGGCCGTGAAGCAGCTGCGTTTGGCGATGTTTCGCTTTAAATGATGGGATCCTCATATCAGCCTTAACTGTCCACAACTGAACATAAGTCTCCCCTTAGGGGTTTTACCAGTAGTTGCCACGCTTGGCAGGCGAATTGGGCCGTCATCTTTGACGGCCCAATTTGAAAAAAAAAGTTGTCTTGTTCGTCATTTTAAGTTTTTTTATGCAACTTAAAATGACGAACAAGAGTTCGTCATAAAAAAACTGCATCTAATAGATGCTTATTAGGTAAGTACAATAAGTAGCTGCCACATTCAATTTTATTAAAGACTAGCTGTATCTTACGTTTCAAATTAGAATATAATCTATCCGAGTATCGAATTTCATTTAAATCCGTTTAGTAATTCTTGTGTGAAAGAGAAATAAATATCTACCAATCTTCACAAACTTTGGCGTTTATCATCATCATCATTTTAGCTTTTAACCGTCCACTGCTGAACATAAGCCTCATCTTGGGGGTTTTGCCAGTAATTGCCATGCTTGGCAGGCGGATTGGCAACCACAGTTTTTTTTTTATGGGTGAAGATGGAATAGTAAACCCGCCTGCGCTATCGGTTTACGGTGGTGGGGCACCAGTGAAGGATGATAGGTGAGGATGAAGCATGTCAGTTAGCCCATAGTGACGAATTCAACAAGAATTGTTCACGATGGTTTCCAGGGGGAACCACGTGGAGGTCGACCTGATAGGGTGTATTGCTAGCAATGGGGCTGTCAGACTCCATTGCTAACAATCCCTTTCCCCCCTGGCAACCACAGTTACGCTTTGGAGATGTTTTAAGAGGGACGCTGTTGGCCATTCCTGGCCATCCCTTAGTCGCATCTTACGACATCCATAGGAAAGGAAGGGGTGACCTATTCTATACCAGGACTACGCGGTACATGGCGGTTATAATAAGTAGTAATATGACTAGCATATGCCCGGAATTTTGCAAGCATGAATTTTAGAAGTAGGTAACTACTTCTAGATGAAGTCCCAAGACAAAACACACGTGATTTTATATTACACAAGCGCATTTAATTTGGTGCAGTAATATTTATATCATGCAGGAACAAACTAAACAGATAGTCAAAGCTTCTAATAGTTTTATTTTAATATTGCTCTTACTAAGCCTCCTTATATCAATAAAATTTATCTTAAATATGTCCTATATACCAAAACCGTCTTACAAATTTATTATATTAGGAAGATAAGACGTAAAAAAATAAATAACTTAAGAAAGTATTTCAATATATTGATCATCGGGACCATGAAACGCAGCTGCCAAAACACGTTAACGTGGGGTGCGCACGCGCATACGCCATTGAGGATGACATCGAGTTTTTTATATTGTATACATTTGCGTATTGTTATTTTTTATCACATCTCACATCTGTGGGTCAATACAGTCTGTATGTCAGAATATTCTTTAAACATGTACAATGGATAAAATAGGATTTTCAAAAATTAAATTAATCTAATAAATAATATGCTTGTTCCCTTTTCTGATTAATAATTACTTGTTTTTATTTTATTTACACGATTTGTTAACTAACTGGGAGAAAAAGTAGCCTATAACCGTCTTCAAGGTCCCATCTATTTCTATACCTAAATTCATCATAATTGATTCAACTTTTTAGATGTGAAAGTGTAACAAATAAGCAAACAAACTTATTTCGTATTTATATATATATATATATATATATATATATATATATATATATATATATATATATATATATATATATATATATATATATATATATATATATATTATATATTCTTTATTGCACAAAAACATACAGTAACAACAATAAGTTAATAACAATGTTAGCAGTTTATGACATTAGTTAAGGATTATTATATACATAATTTGTTCCAAGTGAGAATATTGTTATGGAAGCTGTGACAAACTTTTTGTATGAATGCAAATAATAATCATACGTGTGCCATTAATTTACGCTGACAAGTTACTAGTAAGGAATGAGCGGTGACGATCAAATTTTGTTACTTGACGTATTATAGCAAAATTTACCAGGAATCAACTACGATGGTTTTTCGGATTATAACTCGAGCAAGTCGAACTAATAACGTGTATTGTTAGCACCTAATAATCCCTCCCTCTTGGCCCCAGACCATTGTTACAGACCATTTCAATCATTAACTGTCCACTGCTAAACATAAGCTTTCACCATAGTAATAAGTAGATATTAAAATTATAATAATACATACTAGCCGTATTCCGCGACTTCACTCGCTTAAATAAACATATAAAGAGAACTGGTAATCTGCATTATTAACAATCTCTTTCCCCCCTGTCTGTAGGTGCAGACATCATCTAGTTACAAATTTGTTATATTAATAAAATATAGAGATTTATAAACAATTATCATTGATCTAAACCATAGGGGACACGGCTGATTATAAAATTAATAGCTTCTTCATTTAGATGTTAGTCGGAACTGCATACAGTAGAGCAGGAATTTGCAATGATGCGTGTAACCAGGCCGGCAGAGCTAGAGCGGCTCACTCATAGATCTGCTTAAGGTTATTATCTTAGATTATATATATATATATATATATATATATATATATATAGAGCATCGAGTCTCAAAAACAAGTCTACTTTTTGTCTGCTAATTGCCAAATTAACTGACTCTTTTGTTTATCAGTGTTCTATATACTTGCGCACATAATGTATCTTGACGTATCTATATTTCATTATTAAATAAATAATATGAGTTTTTACACATTAAAAAGATGCAAAAATTACAAAACAAAAGAAATATAGAAGTTATAAAGAAAACACTCATAACCATTTATCACGCACATTTGTATGAAAAAGTTGACCCGCTTTTCTCAAAGCATTTGTATGGAGATACTCTATGTATATAATCTAAGGTTGATAGCAAAGATTCTAAATAATTAAATCATTATCAAGCTATAATCGGCTTAGGTACTTAGGGCACACCTGAGATACAACCAATACTTTCCTTACTAACATTATAAATGTGATAGTGAGTTTGTTTGTTGCCTTTAACGGCTTAATTAGATGTTATGGAATTTAGTATTCTTGGATGAAGAAGGACATAGGCCTCTTATTATCTTTATCAATGAACATATCCCGGTCACGAGGATGAAGTCGCGGGTAAAAGCTAGTAATAAATACTACCACCAATACAAAAAAGGGGCAATGGATTGTTAATAATGCGGACTAGTAGTCCCGTTGCTAGCAATATCAGATAATAATCTCCACGTGGTCTCTCTGGAAACCATCGTGCTGAATTCCAGGTGTATTCATCACGATGGGCTAACTGACCTGCCTTTTCATCTCACCTAACATCTCTCACTGGTGCTCTGCCAGCGTATACCGTTAGCCCATCCGGAGTTACCATCCCATTATCAGCAGAAACACTGATCTATATTATATCCATATTGTTGCTTCACTATCTAAATGAGGTGGTAATACACCAAGATGAGTCACACGAACACGTCACAAATTTCTACCAAGATTTTTTAGTCTGATCTATTCTACTAATAGAACTTAAATGTAAAACAACACGTATATAATCAAAATTATCACACATTAAATGCTGATGTTTTATTAAGCTTTAAGAATATTTAAGAAAATCATAAACCTTTCACTTATCAGTAATAGCTGCCCATTTGTAGCGGTGGCTGGCGTGAGAATCGGAGGGCAAAGGGCGATCCCGTGGGGTTTCACTAACTAGGAGCTAATGTCAACAAGTCGGCATAATCTCACATATAAATCATCCTATTTTAATAATTAATTGAGTTATTACTACTCATAATAGTTTTCAAGAAAAAGAAAAGCTCTTTTTATATATAAGATAATACCTACACTTTATATTATGATAAAATTTTGAAAAAAAGATCGCTGTTCATGTAGGCAATAAAGTAGATTAACATACTCGTAATTAGGATTGTGTTCCACAAAACAACATCGACATTAATTATGGCAAAATCAATTATTTCTATTTTAAAACTCAAATAGATTTTGATAAAATTTCTATGGAACCAATCTGTAGATAATATCTTTCCAGTTAAAAAAGAATTTTTCAAACGGTTTGTAACTAACGGAGTTACGAAGTAACAGAATTAAAAAATGAGTACAACCGAATTAAGAATCTCCTTCTTTTTTAAATTAGTCGAAAATCCAGAGGGAGACTTTGTACAAAAGTCGATTGCTTGGGTACCTCTGTCTCATTCGTGTTTCTACCGTGAAGCAATTGTGTTTGCGTAGGTGTGTTTCGGTTTGAAGGGTGGGATATGGCGTGAATTTACAGGGTACAAAGGAATAGCATCTGAGTCCTCAGGAATGGCAACGCATGGGGGGTATCATGAGCGAAACAGTACCTATACTCTGTTATGTCCATGGTACTGCTCATGTCTCTAGGCGACGGTTACCACTTTCCATCAGATGGGCTGTTAGCTAGTTTGCCATTCTAAGTTGTATAAAAAAATGTAGTTGTAGAATTGTATACTTAATACCTATGTATAAATGAAAATTCTGTTACATAAAAAAGGATTAATGTACAACTGTGTTCATAAACATAATAAATGTATGACACATCCGTCTCCCCGCCCAATACGAGTATGTAAGCTCCGCCCTACAGGAATGATGAAATGATATGCGCAAGCGACTACGTTTACGATTTGACTTCTGAAAACGCTCCCATTAGGACGTATTGATTAAAAGAAATTTATTTTCAGTATTAGTGAATATTAGTTAATAACATATAGTGTATTTGATTCAGATTCAGAAACATTAAGCATGCACATTGAGTATTCTTTATATGTGTTAATATTATTTTTATAAATTATGGAATATATTAAAACTAATTTTTTTCCACACACTGAGGACATGTTAGAAAATTATGTGGATCCTTGCTATTTTGAGCCAATTTCTTACCAAGATGGCAGTATCTCGAATCAACAAGATGGCCAACCAAATTGCTTTCCTATTTTCTATGAGTACAGATCTGTGGAGAGGCATAACGTGTTTGAAAATGCATGTGACACTGATTCCACTCAGTGGGAGTGGCCAGGATGGAGTGACAATGTAACTGTGAAGGAAGAAAATGACATGGAGGCCAGTGTTGGAACAGCAGGGTTGAGTGAAGAAGGTAACAAAAAATTATTCTACAACCACTTCTAATTAGTATTCCATGTTCAGTCGTAGAGTATACCTATGATTTTAAGAAGTCCTTTAAGGAAACTATAAGATTTTTTGAAAGACTTTTTGAAGTTTTCAATTCGGTTATATTTTTTTTATGTTTACAGCGTCGTCATTTATAAATCGATGTGGAAAATTATTTCTTAACCGATTGGATATATTTTCAAACTGGCCCCATAGAAATTTTATCAAAGTCGATTCAGTAGTTTAATTTTTAAATCAAAATACCTGGTTTTGCTATAAAATCTTTTTTTTTGTGGAACACAATCCTAGAATAAATTATACGCCTAAATAAATTATTGCTAATTCTTATAAGGTAAATTAGATAATATAGAGTCCAATTTACATTTACAAGGTTATTTTTTTTTTTATTTATCTTGCAATCGATAGAGTTGAAACAAAATTAACAATTTTGTAAAACTAAATCGCCATATATTTTAAATACACTATCGGGACTTAACACAATGCAATAAAAAAGCAGGTATGTAGGTACTATTTACCTGCAAAAATTCGCATTAAGTCCCGATAGTGTATTTAAAATATGTGTAAACAACACAAAAGTTTAAATTTAACTAAATCGTCATAGACCTGGATTCTACTTTGTAAAAATTTGTTGTAGTTTCTAATAACACCTATCTAGTTTTGTTTATGCGATTTGAAATCATAAACCCATATGATACAAAGTAGTTAAGGAAATGTACAATAATAAATTACTTGAACATCAAGCTATATTATTACCTACCTATAGTTAAATTGTTAACTAGCAGAATCCCGCGTCTCGCGGGGTTTCTTTGTTCATATTAAATTTAACTTAATGACTAGTGGGATACGGTCTGTTTTTGTAAAAAAATTGCATTAAAATTCCAGTCCAACTTTGAACTATTGAAGATTATGGGCATTGTGTTTGACGTACTTGGTACAAAATTTCAAGATACTCGTACATACATTTTTTTTAATGGGTGAAAATGAAATAGTGTCCTCGCCCGCGTTATCTGTGTACGCTGGCGGGGCACCAGTGAGGGATGACAGGTGAGTATAAAAGAAGGACAGTTGGCTCATCGTGACGAATTCAGCAATAATTAATCACGATGGTTTCCAAAGGAAACCACGTGGAGGTCGATCTGATAAGGGATAAGACAATCCCGTTCTCCCTTATCTGAATTTATTGTCACAGAACAAGTAATCATTATGTTACTTAGCATTTTTATTTTAATAGGTACCTAATAAGACATACTATAAAAATATATTTCGTTAAGAAAACTGAAGGTAAACTAGAAAGATATAGAGTACTAGCTGTTTTGTTGAAACAATGACATACGTCTAACTATCCTCATAAACTTTCACATTTACAATAGTAGTCGGATATCCGAAACTCAGTGGGAGACTGTATAAATGTCGTTTGCTTGAGTACTTCTGTCCCATTCGTGTTTCAACCGTAAAGCAGTCGTGTTTGCATGACTGTGTATAGTTTTGAAGGGTGGGATATGGCAGTGAATTTACAGGATACATAGGAATAACACCTTAGTCCTTAGAAATGGCAACGCATGGGAGGAATCATGGGCGAAACAGTATACCTACTCTGTTATGTTCATGGTACTGCTTATGTATATAGGCGACGGTTACCACTTTCCGTCAGCTTGTTTGTCATTTTAAGTTGCATAAAAAAAGTCTGCAGAGCAGTACAGATAACATACTTATTTTAAGTAACGACTATTGTAACGCATGCGTAGGTAGACCCATTGTGCTGTTCTTATTTTTAGGCATAGATTTAAGATTTTTACCACTTTCCATTAGGTGGCTTATCAACAAGGTTCTTTGTCTATGCAAGTTGCATAGAAACAATCCTGGGATGTTGGATGAATCTTATAGTAGTAGGCATATATTAGCTCGCCCAGTAAACCAGGAATATTTAGTAAATAAACACGAGTCAGTAGATGTTATAAACTACCACCTGTGTGCGCCAGGAAACTTGACAAACATACAAACTATAAAACGATTGCATAAACAAAAGATAGGCGCCGGCGCTATTATAAACATTTGTCAACATAGATAGCACAACTGGAAAGTAAGATAGATCTCCATTTTAATATTCTGCTTTTAAATTATGCATTTATATTACCCATAATTTGCGTCAAACGTCATCTTGTGTAAATTCCATCTTTTTCTAAGATCAGACTATTATGAAATAAATAAAATTTACTATCCAACTAATTGAATTGAATTGCGTTTACTAAAGAACATAATTTAATATTAATTTACCTAAATTACAACTTTTACACGAGACTTTTGTCCGTGTGACCGGAATAGTCGTCGTCGAGTCGAGCACTGCCGTCCATTCTTTTCTCGAAGCGACACATGGCACTTTAAATAACTTCATTGTGGATAAAGCAAGAAGTTAAAAAATTTTGTGATCTATAAATGCAAAACATGAAAATTTGATATATATTCTTTATTGTGCTTGTAAGTTACATATAAAATAAATTTATTAAATTTCATTATTCATTTTAATTAAATGAAAAATAATTATTATTTAAAATTACGTTCATTGATTCACACAATACATCGCGCTTGTAATCGACAGACAAAATATTACTCGAGAAAAACGTAAGGAGAATGACCTATAAAAAATGAGATCCTATCAATAATATAAAATCTATAAAAAATGCTAAGTCTTGCAACGTAGTGCTTTGACTATAAAAAGTTGTGAGATCTCATGTAGAACCATGTCTATTAAAGCACCTATTCAACAACTTTGTCATATTTTTTTTTTATCTAACAATAACCTATCGACATTAATACTGATCAGTGTTAGATATTTTTAGTTCTATAATATATATATATAAATTTTAATGATTGGGTCGGGGCGGTTCACTTGTTTGCGGATTGTGAGAAATGGGCTCTAACTACCCTATTACTAGCAATATACCTATTAGATCCATCACCACGAGGTTCCCCTGGAAACCATTCTGATTAATTCTTGTCGAAATCTTCAGAATGGGCCAATTGACCTGCTTTCGTCCTTACTTATCATATCTCACTCATACTGCGTCAACATATACAGATAGCAAACGAGATAACCATTTCATTATCGCCCATTAAAAACTCCCTCCCTTTGAAGCAACCGCTTTTCGTAAGCTTTGGAGGCAAATTTTATAGCTAAATAGGTTTTTTTTTATAGACTTGCGATCACCTACCAGCAGTCGTAAGGAACGTACCGCTTTTACAAAAGCGCAGATACGAAGCTTGGAGGAGGAGTTCGCTCGAGCTAACTATCTCACCAGACTGAGGAGATATGAGATTGCTGTGGCATTGAATCTCACTGAAAGACAGGTTGGTATCTACAATTAATTTATGATATACGTTATTAGTTTTTAGATTTCAGAAGCATGATGAACAATGATGTAGACCACTTAAGTTTTTAAGTTAGACCTTTAGAAATAAAACTATGAACATTTTGTTCTTGAAGGCCTAACTTAAAATCTGGTGTGTATTTTTTTTTGATGGATGAAAAATGGAATGGCAGCCCTGCCTGCGCTAACGGTATTCGCCGGCGGAGCACCAGTGAAGGGTGATCGATGAGAATAAAAACAGGCCAGTTAGCCCATCATGATGAATTCATCAGGAATTAACCACGATAGTTTCCAGAGGGAACTGCGTCGAGGTCGACCTGGTTGGGTATATTACTAGCAATGGGATTCTTAGTCTCCATTACTAACAATCCCTTTCCCCCCTCTGGTGTGTATTTCATCTCAATACGTCTTCTTCATTCATTGAAGTGATGTATTTCATTGGTGTTCTTTCCAAATCCATGTACGAAGTAGAAGGCAAAAAACTAGTAAATAAATAAATCTCTGAAAATCTCTGCAAATACTTGCCGAGTGTTACATTCATTACTAGCATACAGTTAATAGCCAACAAATGTCTCTAACTCTAGACCTCGGTAATCACAGATTACAATAGTGTGTATATTTAGGTATTTATTTTAAAAGAAACTTTTATTCTTATCAAGGTAAAAGTGTGGTTCCAGAATAGAAGAATGAAATGGAAAAGGACCAAAGGCGTTACAAAACACATGAAGAAGAAAGAGCCTGTAGCTTAAAAAATAATATCACATTTATAGGAGAAAATTATAATTTATTGTTCTTAGGCAAGCAATACCTATTTATACTCGAAAAAACATGTTATGAATACAGCGGTAGCACACAGGCATTTCACCGCATTGTTAATTAATTCAAAAGGGAATAAACTTATTTAAGTTACAGAATAAAAAATACATAGTTAAACATAGAACCCCTCCTATTTTGAAGTCGGTTAATAAGATGGCTGTTTGTCATTTGTGCATTGTATAAGTGTATGCAAGTGATATAATTCGTTCAATGCAACTCAAGGAAGCATGATAACGTTGTAATTATTTGTAATTTTTTAAAAGTAATTGAACATTTTTGAATGTTTCTAATTATTAGTTTCTAAGTAATTACTTAAAAAGTGCTCTACTAGCGAACTAAAACGTTAATCATATAATATAATCGTTGTATATAAATCTACCAATACAAAGTTTCCACCTATTTCATATTTTGCTTTAGAATTTTCAAATACATTTTCGTCGTCAAATTACAAATTTTCAGTATCATAAGAATATTATTACGTATGATTACGTTAATCACTAGCAGATCACTTTTTAAATAAACAATCAGAAACGTCGAAAAATGACATTTTTGAAAATTGACAGTAACTAAATTGGCACATTGTCATACTTTGTATGAACGTCATCTTCTTTAATTAGCGTCATCTTCAAGTTTCATTTTTCGGTGAGCTTTTTATCCGACTTCAAAAAGGAAGTTTTAAATTTTTTTTTGTTACCTCATAACTCCGTTAGTTTTGAGCCGATTTGGAAAATTCTTTTTTTATCTGAAAGGATATACTTATAGATTAGTCTCATAGAAATTTTATCAAAAACGGTTCAGTAATTTAGTTTTTAGATCTTAATAACTGGTTTTGTTCCAATTGTAGTCGGTTTTTTTTTGTGGAATACTAAATCATAAATAAAAATACAAAATGAGGCTTGGAAATAGTAATAAAAAAACACAAAGTTCAGGAGATAAGGATATGTTTATTACACAATTCATACGCCCGGCACACAGCGGCCGTTGTGCCGAACATTAACCCATTAGAAGTCACTGTACTCATTTGAGTACAGGCATATACTTAAGTGCCAGTTACAGATCGCGTAAAGTTATCATAGCCTACCTTGTTGTTTTACTTTATCAATCAACTGTGCAAGTATATTGACGAATATTACGAGGGTAGTGTGATTTTTTATGATAAAAAGTGTAAGTTGAAGTTGTATCATCAAGACACTGTGGAGGTGAGTTCATTATTTAAGTTATTTTCTAATAATTACTGTTTATAAGTTGATTTTTTTCATTTCATTAGTATAAAATACGTATCAGAATAAGTTATAAACAATAATGCAATCATTACTTGTAACTGAAATAAAACAAGAGCCATGTAAATGTTGGTGTACTCGGTTGAGTACAGTGACAACATAAGTAAGTAAAATAACCGCTTTTTTTTCAGGTTTCTAACAATAAAAAAAAAGCATTTTATAACTCGAACGAGCTACAAGAGGCTTGAAGCAGCGATTGAAGCTGTTTTAGAAGGAAGCGATAAGGGTAAATATGACTTGGCAATCATCCCACCTGATCCAAGTGCGGTGACAGATGAGGAGGAAGGCACTGATGAGGATATGGCGACATGTCCCATGCCGCAAGACATACCTGGTACTATTGAGATATTTACATATCGAAAGGATAGCGATACATAAGACAGCTCGTACGACGATAGTGATGAAAAACCGCTGGCGTCAAAAAGAATACGACTAGATTCTACTCGGATCGGACTCGAATTCGAAGTGGATTGGCACTTCGAATTCGAACCCGATCTAGCGAAAGTGTTCCCCTACATACTCTTTGCCGGCCAAGAGTACTACTGAAGTCCATGACAGGAAGAGTACTATTTATGAACAGCTGAAAGGCCTCAATTCTGTACAAATGTTGGAAAAAATATTGATAATGATATAATTGATATGATTATAGAAAACAGCCAATTATACGCTCATCAACACAATAGACATGAATTTTAACTGGATTCCTCTGATTTAAAGAAGTTATTAGGCTTAGCACAAAGGATATGAAAAAGAAAGAACGTGCCACTTATGACTACAGGTTTGACAAAAAAGGTGAACTTTTATTGGTAAGGTGGAAAGATAACAGTGTATGTACCATGGCAACTAACTAAGATACCATTGAACCGCTAGAGACAGTCAAGTGATAGTGTCGAATAAAGAAGGAAAAGATGGACATGGCGATGCCACGTTTATTCCAAACGTACAACAACAATATGGGAGGTGTGGATGAGCTGGACCAGTCTGTTTCATTATATAGAATTGCTGTGTGTAAAAAGTGGTGGTGGGTGTTGTTCACTTACATGTTAGACGTAGCTATTGCTAATGCCTGGCGATTACATATGAGTAACGATGATCCTATGGATCAACTCATGTTTCGTCGTCACATCGCACGATATTATTTACGCCAAGGTGATCAAAGAGATCGCGTCAGGCTGCAGCTATCTGTGGTCTTTCCCAAGATGGAGTTGGACACTATCTTACTAAAATTGAAAAACAGCTGCGGTGTGTCCTTTGTCATTCAAGAGTGCGTTGGCAGTGTAAAAAGTGCTTAAAAACACTTTGTGACGAAAAGGCGTGTTTAGAAATATTTCATACATAGAGGTGGTCAGTGTACTCAATTGAGTACACCCTCATAATTTCGCGAAAATTACTATATTTGAATATTTTTTCGTATTTTGTGTTCCTATGCTCTTATTTTAGTATGAAAATAAAGAATATTTAAAAAAAGAAACAGTACTTTTTATTTGACTTCTAATGGGTTAAACTAAAAATTATTAATTGTAAACTAACACACTATCTTTGGAAGAAACTAAAACATCCGGTATACGAGGGTTTACAATTTGTTCAGAAATTGTGAGCATTACTTCACTCCGACAAATGGCGAACGGAAAAACAATACATCTTGGAACTTCCAAATACTAAAATAGGTTCTAGCAAGTATAATAACATTCAAAATGATCCCTTAGGGCGATGCCCTTAGTGCTGCGAATATAAAGTCCAATTTTACCTCTCGGACAGTTCAATGATTCGTTCATTTATAATCCAGTAAAAAAACATCGCCTTAAGGAATATAAATTTTCTGTACAACATTTAATCGTAACATTGGACCATATTCTATATAATTGGACCAAAATAAAATACTAGTAATTCTCAACAATATATATAATATGTATTCAACCATGACATTTAAGAAATATAAATTGTAAGAACTTTCCATATAGTGTAGTGGCTTGAGTAAGTTGTCATTATTTACAGTTTGTTATTTTAATGTTTATGTTATGTAACATATATTATTTAAGTTATAATCCATTGTTAGGCACAATTTTAATCACCATTGTAATTTTGATGAACTTTACATATCAATTATGTATTTAAATTGGTGCAGCTCAAACATTTACATTACATTTTTTATTGTACATTATGTCATAGGAAATATAAGTGTTCCACATATTTTATTTCATGATTATTCTCCTGAGAAACCGGTCAAAACAAAAAATAAATATAACAAAATAAAATCTGTGGAAGAGTGTACTCTCTTAAAAAGATAAATTCAAAATTTCACAAAGTGCCAACAATCAGCAATATCAACATGATTGGGAATAAAATTATTGTGAAATATGTTGATGATCTGTGTACCTTAATAATATTATGGATGTAAACGTGTCTAATTGCATTATTACCATTACTAAGTATACTTTTTTTTAATCGAACTGTTGTCTGAATAACTGAACAGCCAGTATAATTAAATATCGAGGCAACATTGGATCTATACTATGACCATTGTGTATTATTTATTATGAATTCTTAAATTACAACAGTGGAAAAATATGCTCCAGTGATATTCAAACTATAGTTTATGCTCTACAACTCTATACAATACAGTGAATTGTCTATGTTCACGCAAATGATACGAGGTACTCGAGACCCAATAGTATTGTACCTAATGAACACATTAGAATAATTTATAAATGCATATTTTATAACCTGACTAGAGAATTTTGTAGGTTTATCTTTTAACTGAACTTGACATTTCTGTCATAACGTTAACTGTCCACTGCTGAATATAGACCTGTCCCTATTGGGGGAAGGGGTTTAACATTTACTTAGTAGTTAATATTTTATTTATAGTTGTAGGCAATTTTGTATAAATTGAATAATTTTGCAGTTTAAGAAAAATAAAAACAATTTTAGAAATATTAATAGTAAAACAATCACTAATGTGAAAATAAATTTTAGTACATTTGTGGTAAGATTATGAAAACAGTGGAAAATGTATAAAATGATATTTATGAAAACAGTGGAAAATGTATAAAAATTCAGTTTTGATTCAGTAGGAAACCCCATCTAAAATTCAATAAAGAATCTTAATACAATAATTTATTATACTGGTTTGACTTTCTCTTACATGTTGTATAAGATTGTTTCATATGAAGCTACATTTAGTTTATTAAAAAAATTTTATAAATTGTTTCTTTATTTGAAATTGTCGCTGATAAGTTAATGATAGGTGCATATTAATGTAAATCCTCAAAGATAACAAGTTATGACAATAAAATTTTACAGTTGTTTTATTCTATAATTTATTTCTATCGATTCTGAGTTTAGATCCTCTACTATTTAAATATTGCAACCATACACCAATAAATTTATATTAAACTTAGTAATAATGAGAATTAAGTGTCTTACAGTATGTCTACCCCTTACATATACCTCAACAATAATTTCTAGAATAAATAATAATTAATAAGTACAAAGGTTACTTTATTGTACTACCGTTAGAAAGATTATTGCTTTATTTTAGTAGCAGTATTTATTTATAGCTTCATATAAAACCATCCTAATACTTATTCCATTTTTAAAAATCGGTAAGATTGAAGGAAACAATTTTTTGTGTTGCGCATTTCCTCATCATATTTGACCATCGTATCATTTGCATAAATAAAAAAAGAGGACCTATAATTTGAGAATAATATATTTAACACAATCCTTGTCACCATTATTCACAGCGCATTTAAATGTCCAACTTCCCTAAACTATTATATACACAGTATATAGTTACTAAGGCTGACCGGTGATCTCACTTATCATATTGCATCACACCTCAGAATCACTTTTAATCACTTTATTGCGTCACATCACAATGTCCCAACCTGAGGCGAGTCTCACTAAACATAAGCGTTAAGAAAATAGGATTTATTAATAATTTAAACGGGATTAAATAGTTCAATGTCTCAGGATACGTGACTAACACTACACTGCAGGACCGATATTTGATTTGTTTCACGAAACTGTATGTAAAATTGCCTGGGACTTTCGTTACTCCATCAACTACAAGAACACCCATCTTTGGGAACCTACGTGCTAGTGAAACAAACGGCCATCTACGGCGGCGTAGTCACGTGGGGCCGTCGCTACACGACCACGAAGATTAGGCTTCGTTATGGGCGCGGTCCATCGGCCGACGCTTGCGGACCGCTCGCCGCCACAGCTACCGTCTGCGGAATCACCGTTAGTGATTTCGGTATCTTGGGCATAATCATGTGCGTAGTAGATATAATAGGCAGGCTTGGGGGTACCTCGCTAGTGCCTGGGGTCTGCGCTCTGGAGGCTCCCCCCGCGTTTGGGGTCTGTACCCTGGGGCCGGGCCCCAGACTCGGAACGACCGCCCTGGAGGCCGCTGTAACTAGCAGCGCCGGCGACGACACCACTGGCGCCGGAGGCGTTTGGGACGTAACTGTCGACGTTTTCGGCGGAATCGGAGCTATTGTGATATTCTTGAGCCCGACGTTCTTTAGAATCGTCGCGGCGTTCGTGCTCAGCTGGCCTAGTTCAGGCACCTCCTTTGGTTTGTCTTGAGATTTCTCCTCTGCAGTGATATTCTGTACTACAGTGCCGCCGTTGCCGAGCATGGCCGATGGCTGGATCTCTGTTACGACGCTGGTTTCTTCGGTCGACTGTTTAGACTGACTTTTTGTCTTTGTCTCACTGTCCTGTAGTTGTTGTAGTTTTTCCCGCCTCATTATGCACATTTTGTTGTAGTCTTGCAGCGTTATGTGATACCTTTTCCCGGAGGACATAACTTGAACGAGACTGTGAAGGTGGCGGCCGTCAACGGCGACCTGTGTCGGCTCACGCGCGATTTTCGCCATATTTTCCTGTGCAAAAATTAAACATTTAAAGCTACTGTACTCATCATCATCATCTTCCTATCCTTATCCTAATTATTATTTGGGGTCGACGGAATATGTTTTTGTCTATATTACAAAATGATTTGGCTTATAGTTTTACGACCGACCGCCTGTCTGACGTCAACTCTCTTTGGGAATAATTTATAAATAATATTTATAACAATACAAATGCAAAATAAGTTTGTCATTATTAATAGACAATAAAAATGTGTCAACAATTTAATCCTAAAGATAATTTCATCTCCATAAGGGGACTAGGGGATCAAATTACAATACACAAGTCCAAGAAAACTAAAATCCCATAAAAAATCTACAGCAAACTATCTAATCATTGGGTTAGGTTGATGTATCATAAGAAAATCACATGTATAGCAGTCATGCTTAAAGCGAATGAGAATCGAACCCAGGTCTTCTACTCTACTACTACTGCGTCGTAGAGGCAGTTATAAATCTTAAAATAGACTTAGTTATATAATGGTTTCCTAGGTTGCCTCACCGACAATCATAGGTTCAATCCCCGCAAAGTACACTGCACTCATACTAAATATATATGTCATCATCATCATATCAGCCTTTAATTGTCCACTGCTGAACCTAGGCAGGGGGATTGGCAACTGCAATTAGGTTTTAGAGATGATACCCATCCTTTACTCTTCCTTAGGTGGCTCTTACGACACCCACGGGAAAGGACCACACGGCCATGTGATATAGAAAAAAATATATATACACCAATAAATATATACTCACTGGAGTGATGGGCATTAGAGTAGGTCTCCATGGTTTGCTAGTTGTCTTTTGACGTTTAGGTGTATCGCTTTTTGAGATTTCTTTTTTCTCTTTAGGTGTTTGTACATCCTGCTTCTTCTCTTTAGGTGTCTCAAATTTGGCGTGATCAAACTTGGGTACGGGTAGTGGCGCGGCGGCGACCTCCGTTGGGTCAGAGGCCGAAACATCCTTGACAAGCTGTTGTATATTATGTAGGACATTCTGTATAGCTTTTCTCCCTTGTGCATTTGGTGTATTAATAGCTATTAACTCAGGGGGCAAGGGTTTAGTTTTCGCTTTGTCAGTCGTTTTTACAGGCTTGGGTTTTGGAAATATACCTGGAGGAGGCATAAATTTCTTGGGATCTCTCTCCGCATCAGAATGTTGGTTAGATTTGAGTAAACTCTTACCATTCATAGATGGTTTTTTGCGGTATTCCAGTAAACTAATGGCCGGCTCACTTCGTCTGGGTGCATCATTGCAGATGTTGTCGTAAGCACGCAGTCTACTCTGTACAGAGTCATTATAGTTTGCTGCATGAGGTGATGCATTGTGAGTCAGCACTAAGTCCCCACTCCTAAAATATTTCTCTAATAATATCAAATGCCGCAAGAAACTGGACTGATTACCATAAGGTCTCTGCAATTCATTCCATAATCTCTTGGTTTCTAAATCATATTGGATCACAGTGTTACATTTTTCCCATCCCTCTGGAGTCACCCCTTTAACATTATTGAACTCTATATTACATTGCAAGTTCATTTCCTCCTCGCCAGGGAATAATTCTCTAACAGATATGGATGGGTTTGTTTCCAGTCTTTTAACAGGATTGGAGTATTTCATATCGGTGAGTTTTTTCGTTTCTTTCTCTCCACCCAACTTTTTTGACAATTCACTTAGATTTTTCTTAACCTGTGTGAAACTTTCTGACATCTGCCACTTATTTTTCATAGTATTTATATCAGCTGGTTTTCTATTTGGTATACTTTCAATAGTACATTCATCATTCAATGTAATATTTTTAAGTATGGTAATACCATCTCTGGACTTGTCATACTCATAAACATCTGTTTCATTGTCTTTTCTACTTATTTTTTCTTTATATGTAATCATATTCCCTAATTTATGTATTCTTTTTGAATTTTTATCATTTATCCTATGTTGTTGACCAGGTTTCTGTATTCCAGAAATTGTTTGTAGCTTTAGTATATTTCTTTGTTTTTGCGTCAAATTCGGTGTCTTCTGCAAGAACTGAGCAGGATTATTCTGTCTTTGGAGTAGATATTGTAATTCTGTTTGTTTATCTAGAGGGGGCAGAGGTGTCTCCATGTCAAATACAGCTTCTGATTCTGAGCCATCACTATGTGTGTTTGGTTCAACAGTTTGTTTGACAGCTCCAGGCACTAGTATTTTGTTTGATGAAATAAGACTTTCTATGTCTTCTTCTATGGGTTGTTCTAATTTTTGGCTTTCATTGGTCTCTTCTTTAATAGATTTATCTTTATCTGGCGATCCTTCGTCGTGGGGAGTGGTCCGTTCTGAAGATTCACTATCGCAAGTCTTATCTGGATCTGTTGATTTTCTTTGTTTAGATTTGGTCCGTTGTTTTTTCTTTTGTTTGTTGGTGCTGCTCGAGTTACTGTCTTCCTGCATGCTGGCCTCGTCGAATTCATTTTCAGATCCTGGTGGTACTTCAATGTTGTATATTTGAAGTAACCTGCAATATTTCAAGGTGCAATTTATTATATTACTATATTATTTGTATAATACAATTACATGAATTTAATAGTCTAGATTGAAATAAAGATGTTGATTTATTTGATTATAATTTTTATATAGGGTAGATTTCAAATATTGGTATACTAAATGTGGTTTGTTATATGTTTGTGGTTTTGTGTTGTGGTTATAATGTTGATCACTTCTTATTTACTTCCTATATAAGTAAGAAAAATATCAATTTGATAAGAGAGTTAAACTTTATTCACTTTTATTTTATGCTATTTCTAATTGATATAAAGAATCATTACAATTTTTTTTTATAACTGCAAAAAGTACAGAAACGTATTGTATACCAGAGGGAGATTTTGTACAAATGTGATCTGCATGGGTAGAGCTGTCTATCCGTCTCTAATGTGAGCGAGCTTGTGCTTGTATAGCTGTTTAAAAAGGAGTGGGAGAGGGGGGTGGGGATATGGTAAAAAAAAATTATAGGGTACATAGATGTAACACCATAGTAGAAGAATAGTAACACAAGAGTGGTAACAGGGTCATCAAAGTATATTTCATATCTATCACTTACCATTAGAAGGGTTGTCAGCTTGTTTGCCACGTAATGTAATGTAATAAGTCTCTCATTTGGGCCATTGTGCGTATGAGTCGCCTGTTTGCTATTCTAAGTATTAAAAAAGAAATGCTTATTTGCTGAAACCACAAAGCTACCAATGGGAAGGCATCGGAGAAAACTGTTAGCAAATTCTGAAAAATCTTGTAAATGTGTGTACTTACTTGCGGCGGTATCCGCGTGCGTGCGGCTCGTGCTGGCCACCGCGCTGCAGCAGCGTGCAGTAGCCGCGGCACATTTTGCACAGCAGCGGCCGTTCCGTAAACTGCACCGGGATGCCGGCCTCCTGCAGTAACGGGTTCAGCTCCAAGTAGCCCTGTCACATGTTCAAACATTATTTAAAGTCACAATACATTTTGCTCATTATATTTAGGAATCGATAGCTTTTGTAAGACTATAAAACTATTGAGGACAGAAAGGGAAAAATGTTGGGACACTTGATACGACACGACGAACTTATGAACATTATAATAGAAGTTAAGATATAGGGAAGGAGGGGAAGAGGGAGACCGAGACATAGTTACTTCAGGCAGATCAAGGAAGGAGTTGGTGTCGTGTCGTATCAAGAGGTGAAGAAACTCGCTGAAAATCGTAGTGAGTGGCAAGAGTTCCACCGACAAGAGCGCAGCTCTTAAATAGGATAGAAAGATTGATTTTGGATAATCAAGATATATTCTTTCACAGATTCTGACTATATTTTTAAAGTACAAAGATTTACTAAATTAAGAGTGTGATCAAGTGTGCAAAAATGAGACTATCAACCATTCATCTAGAATTTATTCTTGATTGAGAAATTGAGTTTAATGTTTCTTCGGATATAAAAACTTATTGAATTATGTCACATTTCTACCGAAACACAAATCATGAATGTGATAAATGAAATATTTAATAATACAAGATAATTGTTTGGTGTAAACGTGATATTAAGTGTAATTGAAACCTAACATACATTAAAAGTTTTTTTTACATCATTTCCGGGTTTTCAGAAATCTATGGACTAGCTTGTTGGGCATACAAAGACATAAAAAAAATTAATAGGCTGTTGTAAAGTGCTTGTAGGTACTTACGTGGTGTATGAAGTGCACGTTGTGGAACTTGGTGATGCGGCGGCGGCACAGCACACACGCCTGCAGCGGCGCCAGGGCACGGTGGTGAGTCGAGCACAACGGGATCGTGTGCAGCCCAGGGTAGTCGCACTCCAGCTTCAGCTGACGGAAAACATAACACGATTAGTATCTGGACCATTCCATTTGTATGTATTGTAGGCTATTAATAAAAGTAGCAAAGATATGAAGCTAGAGCAATGGGGCTAGCAATGCTATGTACATTATGGATACCTTTATAGGCGACGGTTGCCATTTCTATCAGGTGGGTTACCAACTAGTTTTGCCATTCACAAAAAAAAAAAATAGATTGAAATCTTATGAAGCATCTGAAAACCAATGGGTCGCCAAGCAAACAATGAGGGGGAAAGAGATTGTTAGCATTTTAATAAGATCACAGGCTCATTACTAGCAACTCGCTGGCTAGGTTGCCATTCCATTTCCATCCAATAAAAAATCTAATGAGCCATTTGACCTGACTGCATATTTCTCACTGGTATTCCACCATAGAAAACAATCAACGCAAGCAGGTTGATTGAACAAACAACATATTGTTGAAAGTTAAAAAATGTGACATTTTGATATGTTCTCTTTTTACCACATTCACTAAATATTCCCCAAAATTTCCACGAGCATAGAAAGTGCTTTTATTTGTTTAGTTTTAGTTGTTTATAGTTGTGAAATAATCTGAGATGAATATAAAGTAATATTGATTAATAAATTAATATTAATAATTTTTTTTTATCTATTTTCATTTTAGGTTTATTTTTGTTTGTGGCACATTGTTTGTGGCAAACCTTATTATTATAGAACTTGAAAGGAGAATGTATTTTTTTATTAATCGATTTAGGATCATAATTACTTTTTTTATACATGAATAACAAAAAATAAGTATATGTGATGGAATGGATAACAAAAATTATACATACATGTATGTTACGCCTGGTTCCTACTAGAATTGGCAGAAACAATGGAACGCCCGATGCTTCGATTCAAATAAGCTTCTCTCGGTTTCTCCACATTCATCAAACTTTTCATACACACTCAGATAAAAATTATATCATGTTAAAAAAGTCTAAATTTGAGTGATATCTATTTACCACTTTGTTCACACTGCTCCTCATTTTAATCAGCCATTTGCGTCTAATGAAGTTGTCGGCAATCGCGGTGCAGCCCTCCGTATGACAGATGGCTGGCCGTCTCTTGGTCAGGGGTAGCACGGGCGGATCTTCTTCGCTTTCGTCCTCCAGGGATGGACTCAGTAGCTTCTCATTTTGTCTATATTGTTGAAATAGTTTCGCGTTAGTGAAATGCGATCAAAATATGAATAGCAAAGTATATGACCTTAACCTGTTAACTGTCATTGGAAATGTATGCTTTGCATTACTTTACAAGAATAATATATGTTTATTTTTCAAAAATAATAAATACGAAATACAAACAAACTTTTTTTTTTATTAAATTATTTGATTAATTGTTACGAGGTTTGTCCGGAAAGTACGTATAAAAGTTTTTTAAAAATTTTATTTTACAATTATTCAGGTAAATCAATTTTATCCCCTTCAAAGTACTCCCCCTGTGACATAATGCACTTGTGCCAACGCCGTTTCCACTGTGAGAAGGCTCCTTGAAAGTCCTCTGGTTGTAGGTTTCTCAGCTGCCCCGTCGTAGCTTTTTTTATCTCATTTATGTCCCCCAAATGCCGCCCCCGAAGTACCAATTTGGTTTTTGGGAACAAGAAGAAGTCACACGGGGCCAAATCCGGCGAATAGGGGGGGTGTTCGGTCACCGTAATGGAATTTTTACTCAAAAACTCACGGACAACAAGAGAGGTGTGGGCAGGGGCATTGTCGTGGTGAAGAATCCAACGCCCCTCTCGCGCCAATTCTGGACGAACTCGTGCCACACGAGCTTTGAGGCGTCTGAGCACATCGACGTAGAATTTTCCATCAACTGTCTGGCCTGGAGGGACGAATTCTTGATGGACAATCCCCCGAACATCGAAAAAAACAATCAACATTGTCTTGACATTTGAGCGGGATTTTCTTGATTTTTTTGTTCGTGGTTCCCCGGATGTCTTCCACTCTTTGCTTTCACGGCCATTCTTGCCGAGTTTCGAGAGAAACTTGATTACGACGCGCTGCTCTTCAACGGAAGCGGGCTCCATGCCGACGGGGTTTCGTTAAGAGGTAACTTCACAGATGGCGTGACAAGCCAGTTCGCACCGCACGGCGGTCAGACCAGAACTGAAGCATTGTTAGGGACATAAGGAAGGGGTCCTGCGCTTACCTGGCCTCCCCACTCCTCTTTCTCGCATTCCAGAACACTTTTATACGAACTTTCCGGACAGACCTCGTATATTAAGTATGCATATTTGCCGCGTCTAAAATAACGTGCTTGACAATCTACGGATCCCTTTTGAACTACAAAATCAATGTTTACCACTCTAATAGTTAAAATAGGTTTGTAGGTTTTAGTTTAACCAAAAATTTTTTACCATTAAAAAAGGTCAAAAATTCATTCTAATGTAAATACGTAATAGAAAAATATCTTACGGATTGGCTGGCGGCGAGGTTAACATGGGTGAGTCTGTAGCTTGTTTGACCATGGGCCGCTTGCGGTATGAGGGGCAGTTGGCGCGTCGGTCCACGTGGCGGTAGCAGGCGTCACACAGGCAACTGTCTATTGTTAGTTTCTCTTCATCTGCAAATAAACCGTAATATATTTGTAGGGCGAGGGATGGGCAGCAGCGTCCCTCTTAAAACATAATCAAAGGCCTATCTGCCAAGTGTGGCAACTACTGGCAAAATTCCCCTTATGGGTAAGGCCTATGTCCAGCAGTAGACAGTTATAACGGCTGAAATAATAAATATTTGCATTACATTTAATTATGTCGAAAAACCATATTACAATAATACTTCAAAAACGATGGTGAAATTATGATGTAAATTACTTAAATGATGATGTAATTAATTTTTCTCAAACATGCTTGGAAATGAAAGTATTATTTTGACAATCTTCTTCGAGATAAATCAAGATTGCCATACTGGCCAGATACATGCGGACAGCGGCCGGCAAAAGTTGTATAAAAATCCATATCTGTCGTGTTTTTCGGCCAGATAAATTACTATGTAAACTCATATCTGTCCTGTCATAATTTAAAAATGGAATGACCTTTTCCTTCGAAACATGGCTACCAAGGAAGTAACTAATAAAAAAAATTATTTAAATTTCCAACTGGCTTGCAAATAGAAAGCTGTTTATTGAAAAAAAAAAAAAGGAACATTATGGCGCGTGAAAAATTATTATTGTTCGTTATTCGTCATTGAACTTATAAAGTAAAATTGTGTTTTTGATTTCCGCGCACTGTTTGAGAAAAGTACTATACAAGCCTTGGCCACAACTAGGCATTGATGGACTCACGTATGTGTGCCTCGTCTGCGCCTCGGCCCACATTTGTACGTTCGTCCATCAATGCCTCAGTTGCTGGCCGCTGCAGTAATGTACTTTAAGATACCGCCTTCAAATGTGGTAAAACAAGTTATCTTCTTGAAACAACTGTTAATTCCAACATATGTATAATGCTCTTAGTAAGCAGTCGTTTTAAGACTACTTACTGTCTAAAACCTTCTTCTGCCTCTCGGAACTTTTCATCTGTGCAATATGGCAAGGTGTGTCGAAGAGCCCGAACTTCCCCCCGCAGTAGAAACACTGGTCCTGACATAGTCTCCCTGGGTGGATGCTGAACGATGACGCCTTCTCAGGGATCACCAGGTTCAAAGTCTCTTTGGCTTCCACAGGCTCTGGGACCGCTTCTGTGTCTACGGGCAAACGCTCGTTACGAAATTGGAAAAAGGACTTATCATGCAATATGCATAATACAAAATTTTAGTATGTGTTTCATACTACTATCATTTTGTTCCATCATTTTGGAAACAATCTTGAACAGATAATGGACTATGTATATATGCATGACAAACTTAAATAAAAAAAAAAGTTTTTAATAGAAACAGTTTTTTTTTTGTAATGTTTCCAATTTCAGTATTGAAGATCGTTGAGAATTTTTTCCAAATTATAGGGGAATTTATATAAAATGTTTGGGTAATAGTGACACACACATTTTGCAAATAGAAAGTTATATGACGGTAATAATTGGAAGATAAATGTATGTTTTTGCTACCACAGAAATATGTAGTATATTTTGTACATTTTTGTACTAGTGCTGAAAATGTATTGTCATATAATTATAAAAGACGAGACTGCTTGTAGGTTTTGTACTGTGGGACACATGTCAATTTTGAATTTTGAAATGTTTTCTTTTCATGCAGAAAGAATTCATGCTTTCTTTCAATTTTAATTACATGTCTTATACAGATAGAAGGCAATCGTTGTTTAATAAGACTACATGTTATTTTAATTTTCAAATCTTTCTAACAGAATGTACTAGAACATACAAGACGTAAATCAAAAGTCCTGAGATAGTATTCATAAAACTGAAGTTGTTTTTCAATGAACCATATTTAGATATGGTCTAAATATGAAAAATATTTCAGATTTTTTTTATAAATATCAAATCGTAATTACGTGACCAGATCAGAATGCATAATCAATAATTTTTTATATTGATATAAAAAAAAAAACCTGGAAAAGTAGCAAACGAATCTATTTATAGACCTTTTTGCTACTACATGGAATAAAATAGAACGAGACAACACATCCAGTATCTCGCTCTTTCACATGTGAACTGCAGTATACATCTTGAAGTCATATATTATGAACAGTAGTTTCAGTTTTATCGTCATCTCTGGACTCTTGATTGTTACACCCTGTATATACAAGTACATAGAAAAGATTTTAGTGTTTTATATATAAAACATATTTGAACTTTAGTGCAAACAAAAAAATAATCACCTTCTTTCTGTTACATGCTGGCATGTATAACCTTTACCCGACAAAGTATAATTTATTGTAAAAATTAGTACATTATTAATGAATCTGTAATAGTTTACATGATTTTTGTATTCAGATTGAAATTTTAAGTGCAATTTAGTATTACTTATATATAGACAAGAATGGAATTGAAGTTTTTTTGTTGTATTTATAATAAAGTGAGCGCTTACACTGCTAGTGTTGTGAACTTTTATTGATTATAAGATAGTGTGGCTAAATTGTGTATAACTTTAGTATACACAATTTGACCACCTTATAAATTATATGTCAATAATTATTAATATAATAAAAATTATAAATGTTTTCTCAACCAGAATACAAAATTATAGCAAAGAAAGCATATTTATTAGATTGACTAAAATTTAAGATTGTGTTCGACAAAAACAAACCACTTCAATCGTGACAAAACCAGTTATTTTAATTTAAAATTTAACTGAAGATTTTTTTAAAGTTCCCATGAGAACAACCTGAAATCATATCCTTTCAGATAAAAAAAAATCCAAATTGGTCTATATTGACGGAGTTATGAGGTAACAAATAAAAAAATACATGCAACTGAATTGAGAACCTCCACCTCATTGAAGTCGGTTAAAAACCAAGGTAATTATTAAATAAATTTTGAAAACATATATAAATAAAATGTTAATATACTTTCTTTGCTAATATAAAAGAAAAAACCACTAGTTTTATGCTCTCATTTATAATAATGGTAGATACCCTTAATTTTGGCAAAGTATAGAAAATAAGAATAAGCAGAAGTCCTCTTAAAATATCTCCAAAACTCCGCTTGCCAATCCGCCTGCCAAGCGTGGCAACTACTGGCAAAACCCCTTAAAGAGAAGGCTTATGTTCAGCAGGGAACAGTTAAAGGTCGATATAATGATAATATATGTCATAAATTATAGAATTACAAAGAGTAGATGAAGCGAAAGATGTAGACATAAATAAAAGATTAAATAAATTTAGAAAAAAAAATAATAATAAAAGATTATTAATAATTACTGAGAGAACAATGTGCGGTCTCACCGCTGAAAGTGGTCTATTCCATTTTATCCGCCATTTAAGGGACATTGTGCAAATATAAATACGATACAGGGCGGAGACAGACAAACCCAGACTGTTGGTACACAACAAAAAAAAAATTGACCTACTGCATTTTTCAAAATATATTCCGATAATTAATATAGTCTGCGACTTAGTGTGGGGAGACACAAGCCGTCACCAAGTAAGCCACGTCATAATTTTACGTTATGTGGAACGGCAATTTTAAAAGCCCTTGGCCACCAACAGTAACACAATTGATAGATAGATAGATACACTTTATTGTTTTCTCTAAAAGATTGCAATAGTAAACTTATTATATTATACATATATATATACATACATATAAACACCTACACAAATACATAAAAATATATAAATATTACTCAAATGTATATGTAAAACACTTGTATGTTGATATATAGTATGTTTAGAATGAATTTTACTAATGTATTGATAATTTAAAATTGTGTTCCCAAAAATACAAACTACAATCGTGGCATTACCAGTGGCATTTTGATTTACAAATTAAAGTACTCAAGGGATTTTGTTAAAATTACTATAGGACCCATATCCATTCATATATAAAAATAAATTTTTCAAATCGGTTTATAAATGAAGGAATTATGATGTAATATTAATTAAAAAAATCAAATACAACTGAATGAAAGATCTCTTAAAAAATACAATCAAATTGAGAACCCCTCCTTTTTCGAAATCGGTTAAAAACAGTACGAAGTTCGTAATCGGCGAGGCGGCGAAACAGCATTGGAGGATATATGAATGCAAATTTATCAAAAATAATAAAATAGTAATGACAGAGCATAAAACTGGAAGTGTTTAGTGAGTAACTATGCGCAAATATTATATATATGTATACAAATCCGCCTATTTATAACAATATACAACAAAAAACAATTATGTAATTTTACAATACAGTGGACATTCAATCAAAAAAGAATAATTGAAATCGGTTTACAATTACAAATGTCCTCACGTAATATATACAAAATAATTAGGACGAATCAAGAACCTCCTCCTTTTGAAGTCGGTTAAAGGGCCGCGAAATATAAGAATATATCTGCGCATAGTTAAAGAGTTATGGGTGAGTGCGTATGTCCACACACCATGGTTGTTAAGTCGATTACTGTAATGTGATTTTCTGTGCCCACCATCGGATGTTGCACCCACGACGCCCTGGGGACAAAATAAATACCATTATTTCTTGGATCTCTTTTTAAAGTTCTTATAACTTATTTATTGCATATCTTAACTTAATTATATAAATGAGAAAGTGAATTTGTTTGTTACTTTATAACGCCTTAAGCCTTAACCAATCAATATGAAATTTTGTATACATACATACATACACACACACACACACACACACACGCACACACACATATATATATATATATATATACACGCGGATGAAGTCGCGGGTAAAAGCTAGTATAGTATAAAGGATATAATAGTCTAGTACTTAACCAATTTAACAAATGTATTTATCTAAAATACCATAGATATAATAACATAGTTTTTTTTATGCAATTTAAAATGGCAAAAAAGCTGACGGTCTATCTGATTGAAAGTGGTAGGGTCTTACTATGAAATACATATTTATATTAGTGTAAATGTCCATGAGGTCCCGGCATAGAATAGGCCAACCCTTTCTTTCCCGTAGATGTTGTAAGAGTTAACTAAAGGATTTTTTTTATTTTTTTTTTATACAACTTAGAATGGGAAACAAGCTGACGGCCCACCTGATGGATGTGGTAACCGTGGCCTATAGACATGAGCAGTACCATGGACATAACAGAATATACTCTTTCGCCCATGATACCCCCCATGCGTTGCTATTCCTGAGGACTCAGGTGTTATTCCTCTGTACCCAGTAAAATCACGCCATATCCCACCCTTCAAACCGAAACACAGCCATGCAAACAACTGCTTCACGGTTGAAACACGAATGGGACAGAGGTACCCAAGCAATCGACTTTTGTACAGTCTCCCTCTGGGCAGCAGTGTTCCTCTTAAAACATCTCTGAAAGCCTAACTGCGGTTGCCAACCCGTTTGTTAAGCATGACAGATACTAGCAAAGCTCCCCTTGTGGGGAAGGCTTATGTTCAGCAGTGGATAGTTAACGGCAGAAATAGTATTAGTAAATGTTTGAATCTTAAAATAATAATTAAGTAATGTAAGCGTCAACCAATCGTTATAAATAATTGTAGATATCTGTAATTTGTTTTTCAAATACTTAACACAATAATAAAATATTTCTAGCCGTATCTTTTCATTAAATTAAGTAAGTTAAAAATAAAATATACAAAAAGTTACATTGTGAAATAATATTAATAAAAAAAATGGTATATATATTGTTTAAGACCACTTAATAACATACTTTTCATTACATTATTTCTTGGTATTAAATACACCCTGCATTTAATACCAAATAATATTTAAATAACAAGGAACTTTCATAATGAACACAATAACATTATAAGAACATGAAATCAATTTTTTTTTAAACGTAATAATAAAAGCATTGTTTTCCTTACCTATCCTTTAAGAGATCTAAATAGCGTGAAGATAAAGTTTATCAGTTTATAACGTTATACTGAACAGATTTGGATTAAATTTAGCAGTGATAGCTTTATCTATTATATATTATTTCCCACATAGGTGTCAAATAAGCATGCTATATCGCGTGTACATTGTCGACCGAGATACCTTAATATGCCATTTTTTAAGAGCGTCAAACTGTAATCTATTAGGAAAGTCTATAAGAACTAAAAATAAGACAAAAATTTTAAACAACACAAGCTTGCTATCTAGTATTTTAATAGTGATTAAATATTTGAAATAATTAAAGATTTTATATTAAAAAACTGACTTCAATTGTAACAAAAAAAAAAAAAAACAGTTATTTTAGTGTAAAAAAATAAACTTCTGAACAAATTTTGATAACATTTCCATGGAACCATGGGAAGAATTTTCCAAATCAGTTTTAAAGTGACAGAGTTATGAGGTAACAAACAAAAATACAATTGAAAGGTTTTCACTCCTTTTTGAAGACGGTTTTTCAACCGTCAAATAAAATGTATATCTAATTCCCGAATAAATTATTTGGAAATTTACAAGGGGTGGCTTTTCTTTTTAAGTATTTTAGCCTAAAACCCTAAGACTTTATATCAGATTTATGTAACATAACAAGAATAAATTATTTTTCAAAGCACTGTCACGTCTATTAGTGAGTTCAAATTCAATTTTTAGTATTCCATACGAAATTCAAATTAAAACTAGTATAATTAAGGATTTTATACAAATCATAAAGTTTAAGGCGAATCACTGAGTTTCGGCTTGATATATCCTGTTCAAAATTAAACTTTTTACATACAATGACAATTGTAGTTTTTAAAAAAGAAAATTTATAAACAATTGAAATAAAACAAAAAATACATATATTACAGTAAGTCAACAGACAGCAATTTTATTTACAATTAATATAAATAATAATATATACATACAAGAACCAGCATATTTTTATAAAAATATCCATCATAAATAAATAAATTAATAACTCTATATGAGAAGTGTAATACAAAAATTCTTACCTCGCGCTTTTCAATGGTGTAGTAGGCGCCATCGTCGTCTGCTGCTTCTGCACCCTCGGGCGCCGTTTTGCCAGATCTATGTTTGCTCTTTTGGAAGGTCATCTTCAAGGAACTCCTATATTTTTTCTTATCCTTGTCTCCAGTATTTCTATTAAGCTTTATAACAGTTTTTAATGTTCCCGTGTAGTCTCCTGATCCCGATTTGTTGGTCTTACCTTTATTGCTCATCATACCACCAAAGTTAGAGCCGTAAATACGTTCTTTCTCTTTTAATTTTTCTATTTTAGCCTCTTTTGCTGCTTTATGAGTCAACAAGCCTAAGGTTCTCAGCACATTCTCCTTTCTCTTCTGACTCTCTGGAGTTTCGTGTAAGACATTACTTGGACCTGGTAGGGACTCAATTGAATTTCGAGCGGACTTACTTGTTCTACCCGGACTTTTAACACGCTTGGCCACTTCCTGACCTTCAGTGGGTTTACTCTCACTAACAGTTTTATTCTCAGTTGCAGTTTCTATATTTTCTTTTTCTGATACATTTTTTTCCTCACACTTTTGAATAACTGCCATTTCCTCGACTGTATCATTTGAATGTCCAGGTTGTGTAGATGATACATGTATGTCATTAACTGTTTTCACTTTTGGCTCAATACCACCTGTTTTAATTTGATCCTCATCTGATTTTTTAATTAAAGTAGCAGTGCCACTTAATTTTATGGTATCCGTATTTACTCCAGTAGTCATTGAAAACTCATTTGGTATAATTTTATCACTTTCGGGGGGTGGAGGAAGCGCTTCTGTTTCAATTGGTGGCATTTCTTCTGATATTGCAGCTACTGGAGAGGGTGTAACAGTAGCAACTGAAGATTTCATTTGAGGTGGCGGTGATTTAATTTGAGGTGGTGGAGATTTAATTTGATGGGGTGGTGACTTAATTTGTAGTGGTGATTTAATTTTCTCTAAAGTCGCCATTACCTCTTCATGGGGCTCATTGACTGATTCTGAAGATTTCCTTGTTAATAACACATCTAAAGAAGTTTTTCGTTTAGGAATTATTTGTACGTCAGTACTATTTACCACACGAGGTGTAATGGATACTTGACTTGAATCTAAACCCCCAACAACAGTTAAATTCTGAGTTGGATTATTAGGATGCAAAGTAGCAAATTGAGGTAAATCTATTTGTGCGGTAGGTTTGTCAACTGATTTCCTTATTTCTGTCAATGTAACATCTTTTCCCAAGGACTCAAATATACTCTTGGCATCAGATTCTTTTGAGTGATTGGAACTTGTCGATTCTTTCCGTGCATTGACGTTGTTTCTTTTAATTAATGTCACTGTATTAGGTATATCAACATCTATAGATTTTCTTGCTTGGTCTCTTTTGACAATTGAAATTGCAGAATTATTTTCAAAGCAACTCAAAACATTCTCTTTCTCAATAGTTTTCTCTGGTGATCTAACAGATTGTATATCTTTCAGTGGTTTAATTTCAGCTCCAGATTTAGGAATCAAAACAACATCACTAGTAACCATCACAGGTTTACCATCACTTGACTTTGATTCTGACTCCTGCCTTTGACGCCTCTTATCAAATTCTTCAAATTCTTTCAGTCTGTCCATCAGCTTATCTATACTAGCTACAGAGTTACATTTGTATGCTATTTCACTCTTGGATCCACTATTGGTCTTATCAACCGAATCTTCTTCATAATGAAGCCTTATGTTTTCACTATCATCAGTCTTAGAAGGTGTACTTTCATTAGTTACAGATGTAACAATTTCTTTATCTTTTAAAGGTGTGTCAGGAGTCACAATGCTATTATTGTCACCCAAAGGCTTAGATAAAGAATAAAATTTAGAAACTGTTTTAGTTTGCATTTGCTCTGTGTTTTCTGCACTATTTGGAACGTTTGACATTTCATGGTCACGGTCTATATTTTGGTCAAGATCATTAATGAGCTCATCAATCTCTTTTGATAATGTTTCCAGTGTTTCTTGTTTATCCTCTGTTGAGTCACTAGTAATTGTGTTAGTTGTACAGCTTTTAGCTACAAGACTAGGATTTGGTTGTGTTGCAGCAGCTGCTTTCCTACCTCTCCTTGCTTTCCGTATATTTTTGGCCATTTCTTTTGAGTTAAATGTTTGGGACATACTATTTAGTATACTACTACGAGCTTCAAAAAGTGTATCAGTCTTCATTAATAATTTGTCTTCTATATCAGATGAATTTTCTATTTTTAATCTATTACTATTATTGTTGTCAGAGTCTAATGAAGTACTTCTTTTTAAGCTCAAGCTTTTTCCCTTGCTTTTCCTATTAGTATTAGAACTAGGCTCTGGATCTGGTTTGGTTTCAGCTAGGTTGGAGTCAACATTAAGAGAAGGCACTTTTTCAGGTGTTGAGATCTGTACATTATTTTCAATATCTATATCTAGATCAGTCTTGGATTTATCTAATTTTTTGTTGAGCTCCTTACTATCTGTGTCATTAAGTGGTTCATTCAGGCTGATGTCAGACTCTGTGATATCTGAGCATTTTGAGATTTCACTACCATCCCGAGAACTTGACCGTCCTCTTTTTAATTTTTTACAGTCTTCAGAGGCTTCTGGGCCATCAGTTGTCTTTGAATCAGAAAGCAACCGACGCCGCTTTTTCTGTTCCTTCATTACAACTTCATTCAATAAGTTACTTTTAACTTTTCTTGGCTTCCCACTTCGTAGGTTTTTACCTTCAGAAAGTAAAGGACTGTTACTTCTTTCTGATCGCATTGAATAAGGGCTTGTACGTGGACCAAGAACCAAAGTACTTGGTGAATCCGCAAGGACAGATTTCATCATGATCATGTCAGAACTCAGTCTCTGTCTGCGACCAGCTGTTTTTGGACTAGAAGATCTAGAGCTTGGTGCAGTATCGTCAATGGGCTCTTTCTTAATTTCAGAGACAGGTATTAGTGGGACGGTTTCTTTATTTTGAGAATTATCAGGTTCAACTTTAATTACTGGTTTCCTTCCTCTTTTTACTGCTTGTTTAATGACTGTTTTTACTTTGTTTTTTACAATTGCAGCTTTTTTGCTTCTTAGTGTTTTTCTTATACCCAGTGGCCGTTTCTTCATTAGAGTTTTAGGCTTAATGATAGCCTTCTTAGTGTCTTTGGATGTTTTGGGTTCATCTTGGCTAGTTTTATTTTTTTCTTCTTCAATGACATCTGAAGCTTTTTTGCGGGCACGGGTTTTGGGTTCTACTACTATGTCTTCATCAAGGCTCTTATCTGACTCCTCTTTCCCCTGCTTAGTTTTCATGTTGGAATGTGTGGGTGGAGATGACCCTGTTCATCCGACATTAGGTAAAGGCTGTTTACCAGCTTTTGCTCTGTTAGTCGATCTGAGAGTGATCGATGAGGGGAATAGTGTAAATTTAGATTTACAGTGTACACTTCGGGAAATTTAATTTTAACACCTCTACTCTGTAAGTTACTATCAGTTAATTTCACTTCAGACCAAGTATACTGTTCAATTGTTCTTGTAGTATAATATTGTACTGTTCTTACCAACTCCTTTACTTTTATAACGGTCGTACACTGAGCCATAACCCTTCGATAAAATATGCCATTTGGAACCTGAAATCGAAAATTAAAAACATATTAGAACCAATAAAACTATAATTCATAAAGGGGCATTAAATTAAATTTATATTGAAGAAGAATCTGTTGCTGGTTGTAGAATATTATTTCTAATAATTCAACAATAGTATTTCTACGATATTTTCTTAAATTAAAATGGGGAACGTCTATTAAATGAAATTAACAGTTGTTTATCAACGAATGTGACCTAATTCACTTATAAATTGAATCTTTAAATTGTGGTAAACAAAAGCCATTGCGCGATTATCCACAAGTTCGTGCCAATTTAGACAGAAATTTGCCCTTTTTGAATATATTAAGTTACATAAACGGCATTTCTCGACAATATTTACATAAAATTTGATCAGAAACTTTTGTTTACATGGTTCGTCGATAAGAAAAACACGCCGGAAAACTCATGAAAACTCTTGTGTTTTGATATTTTTGAGTAGCGGAGTGACACCTAACGCCACCTACAGCTGACCGAGTGCGTGTGCGTCGGACGAAAGCACCAAATCATTTCCCTAACCGTGGCGCACCTCTACAATGTCCACACAAAATACTCACTATTTATCCAATGAAACCTCCAAAAATCACAATAAACAGTTAATCAGACACACAATGCACCATAATATGCGAAAAAGTTCAATATAAACACGCGATTAAACTTAGAAAATGATTTTTGAAAAGCCCAAATGACTGCAGGCGTCCGCCATAATGTTTCCTTCGAAACGAATAATATAGTTCTTATTGCTCTTGTAGCAATCGCTCTATTCGCTATTCAAAATGGCGACGGTGTTGCGGTCACACTGCGCGTTTGCGCGACTTTTTGGAGGAAAACGTGGACAAATCCTGTACAATGTGATTGATTTTGGTATAAAATCAACCCCGGAATCACTATCGGTAATTATTTAATTATATTTCTACTTGCGTTGTGTAGTAATGCCGTTTTGATCACGACATGTGACAGAGCTGTGGTTGTACACCCTTGATAACAAGTTTCGATTGTGTAATTTTTTATTAATTATTTTTCAGTTTTATTTTAATGTTAACTAATTCAGTTAATTTTTATTATTTATACATCTACTTATTGAATGTATTTGTTTTTGAATTAGTACAATTAGTTTGAGTTAGTATAATTTGTAGTGTTTATTTTTTTGTAATATATATATATATATATATATATATATATATATATATATATATATATATATATATATATATATATATATATATATATATATATATATATATATATATATATATAATTTAAATAAAAATATATAACTTATATTAATATTTTTTTTTTCTGTTTCAGGTGATATCAATTTCTAAAAAGTACTCCAATTATGCACATTCGCCGTTTGTTACACGAGTAAAAGAACGATATAATTATGAAGTTGTTGAAAAGCCTCCAGAGTGGACTTATGTAAAAAGACTTCTGCCTTTTGAGACAATTCCAGCAATATCTCCAAAAGATAACTACCCCTCCGGATATATACCTCCTCAAGAAGAAGCTCGGAATCTTCCTTATTTTATTCCTAGAAATAAAAATCACTATTTACCTATATATCTAGATATAACTTTTCGGGGTATGCGTAAAATCTCAATTATAAAAAAAATTGACGGAGATATATGGCTTTTAAATGATGAAATAAAAAGTTATTTGAAAAAAAAGCATAATAGGTATGTTGAAACTAGAGTACACGAAATGGGAAGGTTCATTGAGGTAAAAGGTGACTACGTCAACGCTCTAAAAGATTGGGCATATTCTAAAGGGTTCTAGTTTCCTGTATTCCATTTTGTACGAAATGTAGTTTGAATAAATCATTTTAGTTTATATGTTTGTTTTATTTGATGATAGTTACTTATTGTAACCTGCTAATAATTAAATACAGAAATGATAAATTTTTCAGGTTCATAAACGATAATATGATTTTGAATTATATTCTTTCTTACATCAAAATTCCAATTAGCTTAAAGCCATGATGTAAACCATCTTGGGTAATTCTTGAATAATTCGTCACGATGGATCCACAGACCTTTCATTCTCACTGCTAGCCTGTTCCTCACCACCGTATACTGATAGCGCAGGAGGGGTTACGATTTCATTGTTATTTATAAAGAACACTACATCTAAAACACTGTGCATGGTACTAAAGTAATACAATAATAAAATAATACGAAGGATGTTTGTTTTTTAACAGTTGTTTAGTAAACCAGTGCAAATAACTGGGCAAAGTCTTATTTACATAGAAAAATTAATAAATATTGTGTTTTATTATGTATTATATTTGTAATATCTACGTACATATTTATAACATTACTGTAACTGAATACATATTCACTCTGCTTCTTAAAATAAAAGCTCAATGTTTGATAGGGTAATAATGAAAATATATAAATTAATAATATGTATTTAGTTGATGAAACCTGTGAGGAGAGGTGTACGCGGCATGAAGTTTGTTTTGTTCAGACGCCGCCAGGGGCGCTGTCGACGGCGGAAGGTTTTATCTATGTAGCTATATAACATCCGCCCGAGTACGCTGGGCCTCTGCGATATATTATATTTTCGAGTCGAATCGCTTCTTTGTTCAAAACAACTTTTCTGTATCAAAAGCGAGTTGAAATAAACAACATTTTGGTCCACTTTTTCAGTATGCTATTAATGTGGACGAAATTATATTAACTTTTTAGGTTACTTTGTCCGTCTAAATTATGTTGATTAACAATGAATTAGCTTATATATAATTATGTAATTGTTAATAGCTAGTAATTACCTAAAATTGAGGGACTATGCGCTAATAAGAAATCAATGTTTGAACGTTTACGGGCGCATTACGTAAGATAACACATCTAACAGTAGATATAAATTACATAGCAAAGTAGGTACTATATGTAATAATATATAATGAATTTCAAGGCTAAGTGCTTTCAGTGAGCCACGTGTACGTTCTAGGCATTGTAGTGTAGGCATGGACATGTACATATTTACTGCTCTATTGGGGTTCGTTATTGTAGATATATTTTCTATACGTAAATAGAGTATACGTGAACTTATCTTACTTAAAATCTATTTATAAGCGTGTAAGGATGTTTGTTTGTCAGGTCCCTGCTTCATGGAATTTTAATAGTTTAATGAATTGTCATAAAATTTTTATATTGAGTTTAAACACCTAAGTGCATAGTATTTTTATATTAGGATGAAAATGGACTATTAATCATGCGATTTTTATCGATAAAAAAGTACCTGCCTACTTATTTCAGAAAGTATTTAATTAAAGGTAGGTAGGTACCAATTAGAAAACATAAATTAGAACATTATATCTTAGCGGAGATGTCATCCATGAGTTCAATGATAATTAAAATTTTCGACTAATTACTGTTGATGGAAATCATCGTTATCATAAGTCAGTGACGATAGTAGATCCGCCCCTTCGCCACGTTTGATTTAGGGTTTCCGATCTCGATTCGGTATATCGAAAGATGAATCTTTTGTACTTCGATTTTGGATTACTAGGATCGATCTTTTTAATCGACATTTAGAGTGATAAAAAATAAAAATTTAAGATCAATTTAGAAAATATTAGGCAACATGTTAATATATGTGTGAAATTGTTTTTTTTTTAAAGCAATTATCAATCCATAAATTTTAATGTTAATGTCGGCTTTTTTTACGTTGACATGACATGCATAATCGAGATCAATTTTCGCGAGATGGATGTTTTGAAAGTCAATTTACAAAGCCCCCACCTATTTGAATACATATGAAAAAGGTTATATATTTTGTCCCAAAAACCACTTATTAAAATAAAATCTGATTCGTAAAATACAGTCGATACGTTCATCGACTGCAGAGATGGGTTATTAGTTAATTTAAAATATTTAAATTCAAAATGAGAATGGATGGTATTTTTTTTTATTCAAATAAATATACAAAAAGATTTTAAATAAAATTATTTAAATACAAAATATCTGTTTTCATAGTAGTAATATTCTTTATTCATTAATTTTAGCACTAGTATTAGTTCAAAGAGTTCATCTTTAATGTTACGTCTACGTGGTTGTTTCCTCCGATTATATGCTCTTTAATGGCTGTGGTTATTTACTATTATTGAGTACCTAGGTGTACATACACTAGGAACACAAATGCTGGATTAAAAATGGCATGAGTCCTTTTAAAAGAAATTTGAATATTCATAATTGTATTTATGCTTAAAAATTAAGATGAAAGAAGTAAAATGGTTTACTTGTAAAATACTTATTCATGAAGAATATTTTTTTTTATTATTTATTATTGATGGAATAAAATTTATTGAAAGTGAGTGACGAAACAATTAGCATTATTAAAGAAATATGAGAGTTATATCCTATGTATCATCAAGAATACATTGTAATGGCAGAATATAGAATGCTGCAAAGTGAAAACTTACAAAACGTTTATGTTATACCTACCATCAATCGAAAATTCATACATATGTTTTTTATACCAACAAGACAAAATTTAGACCACTCGTTTGGATAGTTTTCATTTTCAGCACGAGCTTTTTTGGTAGAAATGGTCACAAAAATAACAATAGATTGCCATTGAACAAAAGAAGTACCTAGGTAGCCATCGCGGCAATAATAATGCCAACATGAAAGCAGAAATATGCTAACATTTAGGATGGGTGCGTTCATAAATAATTTTGATTTTAGAAATGAAAAATATAATATACGATTTTAAAAAAATTACAAAACCATCTTGCATTTTACAAATATTATGTGAAATAAAATAGAAAATAATTTTCTTTAAAAGTATTTCAAAAATCATATTTTGAATTTTTAAATAACACACATTCCTGAATTCGACTATAACGTTAACTATTATAACACAAATGGCGACTAATGTTTTTGACCCTTTCATTTGGGATTACAATCACATTACAGTACTTTTTTTACATTCACGACATCACACGACTACCTGCGTTGGCATGTTGAGTATTGTTTTACAATTTTGAATAAAAAATTTTGGCGAAATTTAGGAGAAATATAAAATGGGCTGGGAGAAATGTGGGCAAATTTTTTAACGGTTCTGGTACTTGAAAACCCTATAGCATGTGGTTCCGAGAACAACACAAAGGACTTAAAGGTCGAGGGATGGGCGGCAGCGTCCCTCTTAAAATATCACCAGTCCTAACTGCGGTTGCCAAGCTGCTTGCTAAGCATGGTAACTACTGGCAAACTCTCCTTATAGCGGAGGCGTATGTTCAGCAGTGGACAGTTAAGGGCTGTTATGATGAAACTCTATAGCTGTATATAAAATATATAAATGAAGTTAGCAAAACAGAAGATGAGATAAAACTGGGAACTTAAAAGTAGAAATATAAACGAGGGTCGTTCACTTTGAGATTCATAGCAAAACGTAGTAAAACTCTCGTTTCTTGGCAGGTCAGTCGAGAATTTTAATTTGTGGAGCAAAATGTGCTTGTTTTTATTTATAACTTACTTTTTACGCTGTTTGATGATATCCTGCTTCCTTAGACTGTCTCCATACAAATGCCTCGAAAAAACATCGGGTCAACTTTTTTATACAATTTTGCGTGATAAATAGTTATGAATCTAACTTCTATATTTATTTTGTCTTATAAATTTTGTACCTTTTTAATGCACAAAAACTACATTATGTGCGTAAGTATACGTATATAGAGTATTAATAAAAAAACGAGTCAGCTAATTTAACAATTGACTGACAAAAAGTTGACCTGTTTTTGAGGCTCGAGGCTCTATCTATATAATCTAATCCTGCTTTCTACTAATATAATATAATTGATGTAAAATTGGTAAAGATTCATGGAAGGTCATCACGGTATAAATGCATATTGAGTTTGAATGAAATTTGGTATACAAATAGATCATATTCTAGATTAACGCATTTACAATCTTCATAAGTTAGATAATATTTCTATATACTACTTTCACATATTTTAAAAAATATTAAGATGAATTCCATATTCCACCAAGTGTCAATAACATAAGTTTCTTTGTTTGTAATTGACATGGCAAAATTCAGGGGATAAAGGTATTAATGTTATATATTACACTTAAGATTATAAAGCTTAAATAATTAAAGATTGTATTAAGAAAAAACATTTCAATTGTGACAAAACCAGTTTTGTCTAAGAAATAAACTTTTGAATCGATTTTGATAAAATTTCTATGGGACCAATATGTAAGTATATCCTTTCAAATAAAAAATGAATTTCCCAAATCGATTTACAACTGACGAAGTTATAAGGTAACAAACACATTTGTGTTTTGTATATTTGTCACGGCTGCATGTGTTTATGTAAGTATATTCTAGTAAAATAATATGCAATAGTATAGTAATAGATGATATTTATAAGTTAAATATTATAACTTAGTCATTTATTTTAGAAATAATTTAAGGTCCCTTTCCTAGGCCTATAAAGCTTGTAAGGATTTTTGTAAGCATTTCTTAATAGTGGAGATAAAAAGAAAATAGAAAAAAAAGAAGATTTATAATTTAATATAAACCTTTTATTATTCTATTAGATAATATTATAATTTATCCCTCGCCCTCCCTTAGTCGACTCTTACGACACCCACAGGAAAGGAAGGGGAGGCCTATTCTATGCCGGGATCACATGGCGACGAACTCATGAACATAATAAAAAATAATTTACAAATATTTTCATATATTTTTTTATATTTGGCTTTATTTAGTGCAATAATATATTATGTTGTTAATTAGTTTTCTGCTCGTTACTTTGTACGCTTGAATTTCAGAGGTAGGAAAACCAATAAAATATTAATAATCTTTAAAAATATTGTATTGTA